GGTATGCGACTCTACCAGCTAATGGGATCAGCTCAAGTATTAGGATACGTCCGCACGAAGCTATTAGTCCGAGCAGCCTCGGGAGACGTAGTCGTGTTCGACATGGAAGCCTATGTGGTACGAGGCATGAAGGTACCTCTGCTACTGGGAGAGGATTTTCAGACAGCCTACGAGCTCGGTGTACGACGCAAGGCTTCAGGAGAGTGCGAAGTCACGCCTTTAGACAACTCTTACAGTCTGCCGGCCTCGTCGAACGAGGACGTTAACCCGGGTTTCAAGATGCGGAAGGCTTTCATTGGGCAATCTTTCCTTAAAGGCAAACACAAGACGCGATCCAGGTGGCAGAAGCGAGGCTCCCCTGCCGACGCGCCCCCTGTTCTTGCGCGAGACTCTCTTCACATATCTCCGGGCTGTGTAGCGAACGTTCGGATAGATGCGCCCTTTGACGCAAATGACATCTGGCTGGTAGAGAAGATTCTCATATCCGACGAATGCAATGAATTAGCCGCTACACCCACGACGCTCATATCGGCGGACCACCCTTATGTGCCTATAGCTAATCCCACGAGTCGCCCAATCATGATAAGAAAAGGAGACGTGGTAGGGCATCTGCACGATCCTCAGGAGTACCTAGATGCTCCTAAAACAGAGGAAGTGTTAAAGAAATGGACAGCTACCGCAGAAGCCCTTAAGACGGTCCTTCAGAGCCAGACGCTGGCAAGCAAAGAGACAGAAGAGCACGAGAACTGGGGCCCAAAACTACGGCCATACCCGAAGATTCCAGCAACGAGGACGTCGTTCAAGCTGTAAACCTAGGAGCAGACATCCCGCCTGACATCCGGCCTCGCCTCGAGCAGGTGCTGCGGAAGAATTCTCTAGCTTTTGGGCTCGCTGGTCGGCTAGGGCATGTAGACACAAAGGCGACTATCCCTCTTAGCCAGGACACCAAGCCCATATCACTACCGATGTACGGAGCTTCCCCCGCAAAGAAGGAAGTAATCGATGCACAGTTGAAGAAATGGTTCGAGAACGACGTAATAGAGCCTTCCAATAGCCCTTGGGGATTCCCTTGTCTGGTAATCTACAGAAACGGGAAGCCTCGTCTCTGCGTAGACTACAGGAAATTGAACGCAATCACAGTTGCGGACGAATTCCCCATTCCAAGACAATCAGAAATCATCCAAGCGCTATCAGGTTCGCAAGTAATCTCATCATTCAATGCACTGGCGGGGTTCAATCAAATGGAGATTGACGAGGCTTCACGGCCGAAGACTGCCTTCCGGTCGCACAGAGGGCTATTCCAGTTCAAGAGGATGCTGTTCGGACTGCGTAATGGCCCGTCTATTTTCCAGCGTTTCATGCAAGAAGTTCTGTCGCCCTACCTTTGGATCTTCGCGCTCGTATACATAGACGACATCGTCGTATATTCACGGTCATGGGACGAGCACCTACAACATCTTGATGCAGTACTAGGATCAATAGCTAAAGCGGGAGTCACTCTGGCTCCGTCCAAATGCTTCATTGGCTACTCTTCGATACTCCTGCTAGGGCAGAAAGTCTCGTGGCTGGGTCTATCCACTCACAAAGAAAAAGTGGCGGCAATCATGGAACTAGTGTGCCCCAGTTCGGTGCAGGAATTGCAACGTTACCTGGGAATGATCGTCTACTTTTCCGCGTATATTCCCCACTACTCGCACATAGCAGCCCCCTTGTTCGCGCTGCTGAAGAAAGGAGCCAAATGGACTTGGCAAGCGGAGCACGACCTAGCATTCCAGAACACTCGTAATGCTCTGGCGCAAGCTCCAGTATTAGGACACCCAGTGCAGGGATCGCCGTATCGACTGTATACGGACGCGTCAGACTATGCGCTAGGCACTAGCCTTCAGCAGGTTCAAAGGATCGCAATCAAAGACCTCAAAGGGGCGCCCGTCTACGCTCGTCTTAAGCGTGCCTACGACACAGGAGAAGCCGTGCCCTCACTGGTACTCAAGTTGCCCAATAGTCACGAAGACGACCCCGGCAAGGAGCGAGAGTGGGCCGCGAGTCTTGAAGACACAATCGTGGACACCGAAAGAGTCATAGCTTACTGGAGTCGTACACTTAAGGCAGCCGAGAGGAATTACAGTGCCACGGAAAGAGAAGCCCTAGGCGCAAAGGAAACACTCGTCAAGTTTCAGCCGTTTATTGAAGGTGAAGCCATCACATTAATCACAGACCACGCCGCACTGCAATGGGCGAAGTCCTATGAGAATGCCAACAGAAGGTTAGCGGCCTGGGGGGCGGTGTTCGCAGCGTACCCGAGGTTACAGGTGGTACATAGACAGGGCAGAGTACATTCCAACGTGGATCCTCTGTCCCGCCTTCCCCGCATTCCCGCCCACATGTCTCCAGTACAAGACACCATTGAAGCTATCATCCCAGATGAAGACAAACGCCATCTGGCACAGAATGCGGAAGATAGGAAGAACGCTGCCGTTAAAGCCGCCTTCTCCTCCTGGTGGCTATATGAGGCATTATCCCCCCGAGACGAGGTCTGGTCGACCTCAGAACAAATGGTCAATGCCGTCCAAATGAGGCGAATGAAGAAAGCGGCAGAACCTCCGACACACAGCGCTGTAAAAGAAAAGGTCGTAACGCCTCCGTCTAGCGAACACGCAATGAGCAAGGAAGCACTGCCTCTCCCAGAGCCCGGGGACGTGGAAGAATGGAACGCGAACCGCAATAGCCCGTCGGATGCCACGGAAGAGACGAGCCTTCAGGATCAATGGACGTATTCTTTAGGCGTCTGTCCTCCTGTGCACCTGGACGAAGAATTGTTCGCCAAAACACATCTTCTTGTTGGGTTCTCCCCAGACACTCGGAAGGAATGGGACACCGCCTATAAAGCTGACCCTTACTTCAGGGAGAAGCTGCAGAGGAGCTCAAAGGAAAGTCCTGATACTCTACTCACTCCTTCCCGATTCCAGAAGGGCGTAAATGGCCTACTCTACTTCGTAGACGCGGACTGGAACTACAGGCTCTGCGTACCCCGGGACCAGATACCCGCTATTTTGAAGATGATCCACGACTCTCCTCACGAAAGTGCTCATGAAGGCGCGTGACGATTCGCCGGCCGGATGCGGGAGACCTTCTTCTGGCCCGACTTGTTGAAAGATGCTAGCGACTACGCACAATCCTGCGACATATGCCAGAAGACTAAGGTAGATCGTACGAAGAGGATGGGTGGCCTGCGACCAGCGCATGTCCCAGCCTACCCTTACGAGACAGTATCTCTAGACCTTATCACTGGCTTGCCCGCTTCGAGCCCGGAGGCCTTCACAGCTATACTCGTCGTCGTGGACAAGCTCACTAAATTTGCGCTGTTCTTGCCCACGCACGACACCCTTGATCAACAAGGATTTGCGAAGCTATTCATCAAGCACGTCGTCAATACGTACGGGCTACCCTCACGAATAATATGCGACAGGGACAAGTGCTGGACTTCAGTCTTCTGGAGATCCCTTGTCTCACGATATGGCTGCCATATGGCGGTATCTTCAGCGCATCACCCACAGACGGATGGGCAGATGGAAGTGCTGAATGCGACGCTTGAAACCATGTTGCGCGCCTACATTGCAAAAGACCGTTCCTCCTGGGCGGACTACCTGAGTGAATTAGCCTTCGCGTACAACTCTTCAATACATTCGTCCACGGGTAAACGTCCGGACGTCCTGCTTCTTGGATACAAGCCCCAGCAGTCGGCCGCGTTGCTAGTACCCAATAAGGACGAAGCTGAACACCCCTTCTTGCCGAGTCAGACCGCCGAACGGTTTATAGAGAACATAGAGCTGATGCGCGCAGCGGCTCGCGACGCCCTCGTGCTAGCGCAAGAGAAACAAGCACGTGCATACAACGCGAAACAGAGGCCCATGGAGTCGATCCGTCCCGGTGACTTAGTTCTAGTCAACCCTCACTCCCTGCAGTTGGTAGAAGCCGAAGGCACGGGTCGTAAACTCATTCAGTGTATGATAGGCCCCTTCGAAGTATTAGAAAAGCTGAACCCTCTTGTCTACCGTCTGCGGTTACCAACTAACTATCCCATGCATCCGGTTATCAACCTATCGCACCTGAAGCGCTACGTACCATCAGAACACCGTTTCGGGCTATCCTAGGGCACAAAATATCGTCCAAGAAGACCGGACGGAAGCGCTACTACCTAGTGCAATGGAAAGGCCTGGACGCGACAGAAGATTCGTGGTTGTCAGAATACGAGCTATGTAATGCACCAGAGTTGAAATGAGAATACTTACGACGCCTGGAAGCCCCTAAGTAATAGACCTCCTTATCACCTGACTGCGAAGCCCTATACCCCAAGCTATCATCCATCGATCTCCCGACCACAACCACCTCTGCAGTCTGAAGTATACATGGAGACCGACACTCGCCGTTTCATTTCCCCCCGATTGCTACCTGACGCCGGGTACTACGATGATCCCGGACCAATACCATTCCTATCTGAGCTTATTCTGCCAGGTGAATACCCTTGAATGGCGAGAGATGTCATAATAGCGGGTCGGCGCTTCGAACTGTGGTCACCCAACTCCAAGAGGTTGCCTTTCTACCCAGGAATCAAAGCACCTGGGATAGACATGGAGGACCTTGCGAGTGGGAAGAAATGATACAATGGACACCTGGGTCCTCTGGATCCCACTTACCACCCTCAGCATTACCAGCCCCAATGTCCTTATCTTCCCTTCATTCGAAGACATAGTCACTTGAATGTGCCTTCTCTATACCCCGAATTCGTATCTCCTTTCGAGGGAAATGGGGCGTGGGTGTCGGAAATCGTGGAAGGAAGACGGAAGGGTCGGATACCGGAGGCTTACATTCGTAGTCTAACCAGGCGCAATCGCAAACTGCTGGAAGAAGTAGGGCAGCTGCGAGACGCCTTGCGCGAATCGGCTTCCCTGGAAAAGCGGCTGCTTTGGAAAAATTGTCTGCTATTCCCAGCCAATGATCACATGAGTCGCTTGAACGAAGTCGAGACATTCGAAGAGGCTGTAGACCTCATTACCGAGATGCAACGAGGAATCAAGATGCGCGACGCATGGATCCGCTACGTGAAGCTCAAGGACCAGGCACCTATAGACAAAACGGACCTGCCTTACACCTTCCTAGTCGACAGGAACGAAGCATTCATGGGCATATGGATGTCAGACGAAGTCTACGACGATGCTCTACTCTATTTGTCACACGCAGGGGTAGCCTGCTTCTTCCTACACGAATATACTTCCGATGAGACGAAATACTATCATCGTGCCCACTCGGTGCTCCCCTCGCCGGATATGCAGAACTATGCTTTAATATCTAATGAAGACGGTCCGTGGCGCCACTTCGTTGAGTGTTCTAAGTTGCGAGTGTTATCCTTGGAGATTGGTGAATCAGTCGGCCGCCTGAAGTCTCTGCCAGGCTATCGTCCGCGGCCCGGCTCTCTCTCGCTCTCCAACTGACAAGGTTACCGAGAGCCGTCAATGAGGAATATGACCCCCGCGCCTTCCCCGCACACGCTAAAGGAGCTAGAGAAAAGGCCTGAGACCCCGGTTCGGCAATGGCATAATCTAGATGGACTAGACGACAATGCCCATAACGTGCCCAGCTTAGCTAGTGCCCGCGCTCAGCTAGCCGCCAGAAAGCAAGCGGAAATGAAGACGGTAAGCGCCACGATAGCAAAATTGAAGGCGGATAATTCGCCTCGTCCTCCCAGTTTGCCTACAGCGGATAGAGCTAAGGCTGCGATCGGTCAAGAGTCTTCTGAAAGAGCCAAAGAGCTTTACGCAGCCTATGCGTTCGAGATATCCCCATTCTGGCGGATAGACGAACTACCGCTGGGAGTAGCATCCATTGACGGCTTGATAGCTTTGCTGCGAGAAACGGTGAGGAAGATCCCCTTTGCGGTGAACCAGATCCTACACACTTGGACGGGAGGACGTGCTGTGTATTGGCTTCAATTTGGCGACGAAGACCAGGCCCTGCGCGTACGAGGGTATCTGGCACGCTCTAGGAACGCTACGGAAGACAGCTGCGAAGGTCCTCTAGTCCCCAAGACTGCCTATCAGCTAGCACTAGCGGAAGTTAGGCAGCCCAAGGAGAGACCCTCTTCGCCAACAGTGTACTGGAACCTCCCCGTGAGCTTAGATGTGTGATTCATAGAAGAACCCCAGGCCCAATCCGCTCTCAGAATGCTCAGGCCGACTCCGGACATTCATAACTCGCCGTACACGACAACAGATCCTGCATCGAACGTATTGACCTCCAACACTTCAGACGTCAGTGTCGCCCCAACACGGTCTCCCCCCTCACCAACGCAATCGCGAATTTCGAAGAGATTCTGCATAAACTCACCACCACAACTATTCGTGGCCTCATGTTCGACGCGAACGACTCGCGAAACTACTACTCCTCGACATGCTAGGAATCACAGATACCTATCCGAGCGGATAGCCACGGACCCACCTTCGTCCTCCAGCGCACAATCCGCGAATTCTCGGGCGAAAGGTCCGGAGAGCCGTGCGCAACATAATAAATCTCGCTACCACAAGAAGTAACCATCAACCCACCACGCAATTTTTTTTTCTCTTTCTTTCTTTCCTCCTCTCTTCTTCTCTTTCTTCTCTCTCCCACCTCTTCGTTTTATCTCTTTTCTTTCACTCGTCTCCGCTCTCCCGATCTGTCTCTCGTACTCTCTACCCTTGCGCTAGAAAGGAACTATGTACACTATAATCAGACTACGTATAGAACATCTCCTTGGTCTACTCCCCTTTTTTTTCTCTCTCTAGTATTTACAAAGTACGTAACCACTGGGGGGCACTGTGACGGTACTTAGACGCTCACCCATAAGTAGTTATTGTACTTAGTATTATTTGCTACATATTAAAACTCCGACAATTCATTCCTCTTGTTCAACCATACTATGCGCGTACGTGACCTCGCCAGTCCTCAGAGCGGGTAACACTCCCCACAGCCTGGGTTACAGGCAATCCCCCTTCCCTGGGCCACGGGACCCTCACGCTAGGGACACAAGCGTCCTCCCTACCCCTCGAGCCCCGACATTCCACACGGTCGTTACAATTAGTTAGAACATCATTTATATGGTCTGCACAACAACTCTTGGAACTCATTTAGCAGATATTTGCTATAATTTGAGGAAGATTACTACATACATAGACAATCAATATAAGGAATATATATGAAAAGATATACAGGATAAAGTAACATTTCCTTTACAATATTCTATGCTACCATTTGAGAAAGATCTTCAGAATATGTTTCAGTTAACAGGAGGTGGGACATGTTTACTCTATTTGGATTATCTCTTTCATTCCTTCTCAATATTTTGCCATAAGATATGCTCACACGCACCCTGTGTTAGGTTCTAGCTGATGCCCCAATAAAGGATATCCACTCATTTATCAGAACTTTTACTATCAACTCGCATCCAGTTACTCTTGGCAGTCTAGACGACGTTCCTATGGTGCCCGTACCTACCGTCGAACCTCTAACGGCCGAAAATGTCTTGTGGTCGAACACGGTCCTTGCTGCCGGATCTGCAGTAGGGTTTGTAGTTTATACAGGCTCAGAAACTCGGGCAGTGATGAACACTAGCCACCCAGAGACCAAAAAAAGCCATCGGCGCCCTCCCAGGCCGGGATTTTCCCGTGAGGGAACTTAGCGAGGAACTCGGGCTGCTTGTTGGTCTCGAAGTGGGTGTACGAGGCTGGGAGCTCAAAGTTGATCCCGGCGAAGGTAGCAACAGCTCTAACCTACAAACCAAACAAATCGATGAGCAACCGGATTCGATTCGCATAGATCAGACGTACGAGCTTGCCCTTTGCCTGTTGGGGGATGGTCCAGATGGTGCCAGCAGACGACATTTTGGTGGAGGAGATGAGAGAGATTGAGCAAGGATGAAATTTTTGGATGGGAGTCACGAAGGTATGGTATCGCACTGCTGATCTTTAGGGCAGGTCGGCACGGGACTTATCAATCAAATTATCAGATCGATGCCATCGATGGCACACTCGCGTCGTCGAATCAAGCTGATTATAATCCATCCGGCAATGTTTCCTTTCAACTCTCCACCATGAAGGTACTCGATCAGCACCGTCCGGCTCAGTAGTGGCGAGCACGCGAGCGAGAAAGGTACTTGACGACTGTGAAACAAAGTGTCCAGTAAGTGCTAAATCCATTTCGCAAAAGCGATGAAAAATAATCAGAATTTTCAAAGGTCTCGACATGAAATTGTTAAGACAGGGATAACTGAAAATATTTGAAGCTCATCCTGGCCAACAACTGCCTCGACGAGAGAGGAAATCGCAAACTCACCCGGCAGGCGCATCCATCTCGCTCTGTTACTTAGGTACGATAAGCGCATGGTGTATGCCTGGCAGCAAGACGCAGAGCATGGTGGTGGTGGTGGTGTACAAGAGGTCTTGGGCAGAAAAAATAGGGCCGAATTTTTACGTGATGGGGACCGAAGTTAGGGCAGGTCATTTCGCGTCGCATCTCAAATTTAATGCGTTCACCATGCGTAGCGCGTAACGGGACAAGGAATAATGGCTTTTGTATATTCCCGTGTTGTTCCAAGAAATATGGTGCGTGGTGTGCGCCAGTGATCCACCCAAATAATTAGATTTGGTTATCCATCCATGGTCAGAGAGGGTGCGGGCTCTAACTCTAACCTGATCGCTATGAGGTTCGCATGCTGATATCATGAATGGTACGTACAAAACAGCTAATAGATGCACACAACTGTCCGTTTGCTAACAACTAGTCCTACAACAATATCATAACGGCCTAACTCATCTCACCCATCTTCTCTGCACCCCATCGGACGACCAAGGTCGCACCAGCAGCGACGACGAACGACCAATCAAACAACGATCCAAAAACTTCATATTTCGGTATCAAAGAGAACAAATTTTGGGCTTCTTCGCTGGTCTTAGAGTCAGCGGGTGGCGGAGGGAATGTCGAGCGCAGTTGTACGATGGTGGACAGCATGTAGATGCCCTAGATGGAAGGACGGATGAGAGTGAGAGAAATTGATTCTGAGGATAGGCTTACCATCAGTTGTGCTAGAACGAGGAGCATCAACGACGCACCAAGGCTACGATTGCTCACATGTAGAGCCTAATAGCCAACAACACGGTCAGTAAACCCTCGACGAATGAAGATAGATGATGTAGCTACCCTCGTCACTCCGCGTAATACAAGCCTGATGCTGCTGAGTATGATGACTCCTACTAACACAAGACTGATCTGTCTTGACATGCGCGCGACGTCTGCTAAGTTGACCTCGGATGAGATATGCGTCAGCAAGTAGGCTAGGAATTGGGTGATTAAGTCGGGGTAGGAAGTTTGGTGGGAGGTTGAGCGAGACGAGATAATATTCACGATGGACTAATGAGGTGGTCAGCACCATCTAGTCTTTGAATTAAGTAGGTATACGCACGCTGATGACTCTAATGATACAGTAAATGGAGAAAAGTCTTCCGCTGAGGTTGTACAAACGACCTTTCAAGGTGGCCGAGAATATGGCGGTTTGACGGCGCTGCCGGAGCGCGTTTAGGTCAAGGCTCATTTGGTGTTCAAGGGCTTCCAGGCCCTTCAGCTCCTGAAGACCTGCACGGTAGCATGTAATCAGTGACGAAGTGACTTCAAAGCTTGTTGCTACTCACGGTCATCACCTTCGAACTTGGAGAGGAATCGAGAATACCACGTTCCTTGGCCACGATCTTTCGAAGTCTATTCATGATGATGCAAGTAAGCGTACTGATTCGGGGATGGTATACGATAATGAAAGCTGACCTCCGCTCCGCTCGGTACAGAAGAACCTTGAAGTTGTAGCCTCAGTTGGTTGATATCATCGCGAATGCGCGTAAGCGAGAGGTCCGCTGATTTGATGTCGCCTTCTGAAGGTATTGAGGCGCTGTCACAAACACGCTAGTTAGACTGTAGGACGCGCGAATGAGTTTGTTCGCCTACCGGGAACGAGAACTGAATGGGAGAAACGCCCAAGCATTGCTAATTGCACCAAAACCGGAAAGTAAACCTAGCACGATCGTGCCCAAAACATTCAAACGGGATAATGTGGAGGTCCTGATATCTGCGGATAGCGACTCATCCGGAAGGGGTACGTACGAGAACGCCACGAGGACCAGTAGCACGGGGATGACATTGAGCACGAATCTGATCGTGATGGCACGTCTCTTTGCTGTATTTCCTTTGCCAGATGTCGCACCTAATGACAGGACGATGGTCATAACAAGGGGAATCAAAACCAGAAGTAGGAAGATGAAGAGGAACTGCGACAAGATCCAGTTGAGCAATCGCGTTCTAAGTCTGTTTGAATACGTGCTGGACGACACGTTGCATGTCGACGACTGACCGAGAAGAGAGTATATCGAGAGTCTGCAGGACTAAGAGCAGTACAAGGGTCATGCTCTCAGCAAAGCAGGCAGAGAAGGCTATGCGAGAAAGGCGCGAATGTAGGGATAATCGCGGTGCAGAGGGCTTGGGGCTCGTAGGTGGTGATCGGCCCGCTGAAGTTGGTCGAGGCGAGAATGTCGGGAGCGCCACCCACTCAGCATCGTTCTCTACGACACCCTCGGTTTGGGCAGACAGGTGCTGCAGGTCTGCGTAGAGGCTGCTCCGGAGCAGAAATTCTCTACACGCCCATGCAAGAAATAGCCTGTAAATGTTCCCGAAGATGAGTCTCTACATGGAAGTAAACAATAGCCACGACTCACCTGAAGCAGGCAATTGCAAGCACCCCGGTGACAGAGTCGTCCATGGGTCAAATATTTAGGTATGAGGTTGGTACGAGGACGAGGGCGATGGGACCCAATGCAGCGGATGCGTGGGAACAGGATACTAAACGTAGGTCAAATCGCCTTCGGCCATGACCGTCGCAGCACGCATCGTCTGCACGCACTACTTCAACGTCGTCTGCTACATATTCATGATCATCGGGTCGCCTGCCGCCAGCACCATCGGACGCATCGCGCCGACTGGAAGTCAACGCTAGGCTAGCGAGAGATCGGAACGCGAGTGGGCGCTGGAACTGACAAGGCGAAAGAAAATGTATCGAGCGGATGGAAGTCACGGAAGAAATCGACGTTGATAGTACAGTTCATTGTTCTATCGCGCCCTCTCTGCCTTACCCTTAAATCGCGCATCCTCCGATCTGTCATTACTCATACATGCCAATGAATCCGGAGTATCTGTTCAAGTTGAATGACTGAGCCACAGTGATACAATGTACAATGTACAGTAAGTTCCTTCGTCGGAAGTTAGAGGAAACAAAGCCAGGCAGGTTAACGACCGCTCGGCGAGATACAACGGTTCTTTCAGCGGCTGTCCCTTCAGAAGTCCAGTAGCGGTGATTGAGACAGAATGCTTAGTGCCCGAACCATTGGGTGGTCGAGGGATCGTCGTCTAGGTACGGCTGCAAAGCATGCAACAGAGAGAGAGCCGTTGGTGTTTTGCGGGGATGATGTTCGAAGAGGGACGATGTGGAACCGTTGATCATCGCGGAAATGCTTTCATTATGAGCACCCAGGCCTATATACGCATCCAAGGAATGTAAAACGATTTCATAACGAGGGGCCTCCTCATTTTGGTTTGGGTGTCTCGTAGCACGGGGCTGTGGATACCTCGGCGGTTGACCCGCGAGTGATGAGCCGGCATAGCAGTTAAGGACGGTAATGTAAGGCAGCTGTGTCCCGCCGTTGAAGATTTTCAGCTCCTGGGCAGACTGCGTTGCAACGCTTGAAGGGGTGAGCTTTGGGCTGGTCTTGTCTTGTTCCAGGATACACGACATCGAGGCAGGCTGGATCGTGCCTCGCGATGAGAAGTAGATTGGAAGAACCCGGTCGGTGAACTCCTGTGTGGGGTGACATTGAATGGCAACGCCGCGAATCCACAAGGCCCATAGGTAGTTGATATTCAGCGGAGAGCTATCCCTCGCCCTGGAGTAATGAGAAAAGTGGACGTAGGCGCCTCGGAATGCGTCCTCAAACGACCGGGCACTGTCTGCTTGTCCGAGCATCGAAAAGTTGGCAGGAACAGAAATTCTCAGTGCCTCCCATTGTTCGTGCGTAAGGAGAGCGTGGAAGTACTTGTTGACCTCGATGGGCGTCTGATACTTCAATTCTGCCCATGTTGGACAACTAGAGATCGCCCGATCCATGGCCATGATACTAATTGTGCGACCAAGTAACTCTCCAGCATCGCCCTGCCCCATCAACCCTTGGGTAACATATTGAGCCAGGATGCGCCAGACCGCCATGGGCTTGCTGGCCGACCGGTCTGAGTTCATAACGATTGCAGCAGCCTCTGCGACGAGGGGTTCGGAAGACGAGCCTGAGATGATTACTTCACGGTCCTCCTGTATAGAGTAGACGACGCGGAGATGAGAGCGGATGAGTTCCAATACGAAATTCTGCGCGGTAGAAATACCCGGGGAGAGATCAAGCAATATTCGGGTGCAGAGGACGGCAAGTGCAGGCGCATTCATTCCATCCGGGAGCGATGTATTGAACTGCTGTCCAGTCAATTTACTGATCACTGTGTTGAGGATCAATTGCACGGCCTCGCCAGGTAGCTCCATGCTGAAATGAGAATTGACCATACTTTGCCAACTATGATCATATGCGATGGTGAGTCGAATGGCGCAGGGAAAGCTTCGAGCTTACAGAGGGCGCCCGAATATTGAGACTTGCTTCAGTGTACCGATGTCATTCAAGGAGAGATTTTTGGACAGGGGGTGCGAGCGACAGTGCACATCAAATGACAACTCTGTGTAGGGCGCCGGAAGAAAAAGGTCACCAGCCCGTTCTCGAGCGGATGGTGCAATCTCCTTTGATGGTGCAACGAGGGGGATGAAGGTGGCTGTCGAAAGCACCACTGTGCCGATGCGTTGGCCAAGATCAGCTAGGACGGACTTCAAACGCGAGTAGATTGAGTGTTGGGTCGAACCCCTTTTGTCGTTGAACAAAACATGGACTTCGTCAAGTGCCAAAATAACGGGGAAATGATCCTTATGTAGCTCGACAGCTTCAAACATTTCGCGAGCAGTCTCAGTCAGCTGATTCGTGTTGGGCAAAGGCATATCGAGGATTTTGAAAATGACGTGGTCGTAGAAGGCACGTCGTTCATGAGGAGTATCGAACAAAATTTTGAAGTGGTTCTGGATGGCAAGGTACGCTGTCTGAGTGATGTCCTGAGTGTCTCCGAGGGGAACGGGAGAGTTGTTGGAAGAACCAGAGCGCCGAAAGTAACGCATAACATCTCTATGGCTGATGTCATTATCTCTCTTGACCAGATCGATCACCGCTAGGACAGATTTAAAAAGGGCGTAAAATATTGCTTGAATATACGCTTTGCAAGAACCCTCATTGTCCTGTGGACTCGGTGCTTTCAATAGGTAGTCGCGCAAGGCGACATCAGGAGGAGGATAAGCTAGACACCGTGAGGATGGTTTTATTGTGAGTGATGGGTACACCCACACATAAAGACACTAGAGTCATTCTCTCTAAAGCAGCAGTGGATTACGATCCGTTTCTTGCCGATCTCGTAAAGCGCCCTTGTCTTCCCCATGCCGGATGATTGAATCATGGGCAGAATAGGAGCATAGGACTGCTCATTGTTCCTCATTGAGTCTATGACGGAGAGAAGATGCTCGGGGACATTTCCGATATATGGCAAGTTGAAAGATTCGTGTAGGACTTCAGAGACAATAGTTGATGGTTATTCGGAAATCAATGTCAACAGCGCTTACGAGTTTCGCGTTTGTCTGGAGTTGCTGGGACCTCCGGTTCACGTAGAAACTCTGAAGAAGATATCAGATGGGCTAAAGTCACCCACAAAGCATCGAATACGCACCCAAATTTCGAAGTCTTTTGAAATCCCTAGCCTGCCAGGCTTCATACAGCGTTTGAACGAGTATAGGGCGGAACCGCTCAGGTATCATTTGCATTTCGAAGTCGGAAAGGAGGGATGGGGAGATCAAGGAGCCCGGGTATCCTGAAACTACATCGAATATGATACGAAGCACCGTTCCTGCGATGCGACTCCGAACCTCCCAGGGGAGTGTGAGGACACCCTCCCAGAGGCAAAGGGCTACAAGTATCTTGCTGTTGATTTCAGCATTGTAGCGTACCAAAGGGTCGTTATCGTCGTCGTATGTGGGCGTATCAAGCGCTGCCATGATAGTTTCATCGACGTCCATGGTAGAGGAGTCCATGAGTGATAGAGCGTAGCCTCAGCGACCCCAAACTGTGATGTTTGCTACGCTCGCAATTTTGGCTCTAAAAGGGTTAATATGCCCGTACAAATACGGACAAACAGTAAACGCGAAAGTTCGGGCTCTTCGCCCGTCTCTTTTTGCTGCTTTTTCTGACACTGCCCTGGTTTTCTTTTCGTGTTCTATGTTCGTTCGAGTTGTAGAAGCCTCTGGCTTTCTATTTCTGCCAAAAAAAAAGGAGATTGGTCGCGGAAGTTTGGCTTGGTGGACACGTTTTGATATGTGTAAGGCCCCGTTCGGGATCCCCAGGAAGATCGCAACTAGTAGTTGTTGCCCGCGAGAATGTAGTTGGGATAATAAGAACCGATTTATGGCTAAACTAGTTGGGGGAAGGTGTTCGGTAGCCACTCTAACTACGTGTGAACCAACTAAGTAACATGTCACGCGTGACTCTGCCAGCTTCTCGTCTTCCTCGTTTCACGCATATCAGCTTGCACGACGTGTTTTCACACTCATTCTCTCGGCGACACGTCCAAAGGAGTCCATTGATCTACTTTTGACCAGTCAGAATTGATGTATGCAGCAGATACAACAGCACTGGCAGTATATGAGACAGCCAGGCCTATAGCTCGTCGGATTTGCTGCTGCTGGTGCTGGCTTCTTGACCTTCTATGGAATGTGAAAGGTAACCATGATGGATGGAAGCACGATTTTACTGTTCAAAACTGGTTGAACGCTATCTGATTACCCCTATCAGGGGCTTTTAAAGGGGCATCACATGATTCCTGTCACATCATCTAGTTGTAGCGCCCTAGACTAAATGTAGCGCCGAGAATTACACGATTTGTCTCGCTAGTTGTGATTTTACTAAATCGACCCCCAACTAGTAGTTGGGGATCCCGAACAGGGCCTAAGTACTTTGATTAGTATCCTGTATTACCTGGCCGTGTTACTGTATGCTCTCTGTCCCCCAATACACCCTTCTTTCCCCCCATCATGCCCCGTGCCTCAGGAGGTATTTCTGCCGTCTGCATGGATTGCGTCAAAGTATGGCCTTGTACGCCGAGTTATTGGGATTCAACGCACGGTTTGTGTCAGGCTTGCTCCAAAAGACGCGTCGAACGAGAAACTGCTCACCAAGACCGTCGACGTCTGACTATACGTGTGCCGGCTTTTCTCAAGGCCTGCGGGCTGTGCACAGGTCGCTTTCCGAGGTCCTCGTTCTTGAATTCCGCTGGCGACTGTGTATATACGCGCTGCACTCGTTGTCGGAAGCGAGAACTTTGTAGCTGCTGCCATCGTACCAAGAAGAGGAAATACTTCGAAAATTCTCAGAAGCCGGGGACTTTGTACAAGACTTGCAGTCCTTGCCGTGAGATTGACGCTGCCCGAACCCTACGTCGCCGTTTGGATGCCATGTCCGCTGGTATGTGTCGAGGCTTGCTATCATTCACCTGTTGTCTTATTATTCGGGGCAGGTCAGCATTGGTGCCCTTTGGGTAAACACCGTGTCACCAAAGAGCAATGCACCAGCTCCACAGGTATTATTCGAACTCAAGGGGGGGTCAGGATTTTAAGCGCCCATATAGGGTTAGATAGGTAGTCCAACCACTGGCGGCCTTAAATCCTAAGTGGAGGCAACTTCAAATACATGATTCAAGAGCTCTCTCAACCTCCCTTGGGTCCTCTGGCATGCTCTATGGATGATATAGTATGATTATGGTGTCATTCAATGGCAAACAGAGTGAATTTTGAGTGGGCCTTGCTCTGGGCGTGCAAAGTGTATTTGCTCCTATTTGGGAATGCCCTTTGGTAACCGGCCCGGTACTATCCTCACCGCTTTTCTTTTTTGAAGTTCTCTCGAGACCAGGTGATATACAGCAGCTCATGGCAAGCGAAGTGCGTCACAAGTTACATTATTGCACTAGAAAGAAGACTAATTATATATCAAGCCAATTCCTGATGAAAACAGCACAAGGGATCGCAGAAATGCAATGAAAACAAAAAGAAACGTGCTGCCGAACTGTCCGCTAATAATGCAAAAGGCTTCTTCAAAAAATATTTCACCACGGCCAGTGCGAGTACGAGTATTGTTCCGTCACAAGTGTCCATCCCAGAAACCATCCAACAGTATCCAAGAACGGCACCGAGCGGTCATTCATCAGATGCACAAGCACCGCAGAAGCCGCCTTGCCCCAAAGGAGTCGCCTTGGTCAGGCAATTCCGCCAGCGCATTAACCTGATTCCAGCGGCAGTTGCACCAGCCAGCTCGGAACATCCTCTCACAAGATTTGCAGGTCCACCGGCTGTTGGCAATGATGAGGATGCATGGGAGATATATGATGGCCCGCTGAACACACTCCTTCAGCAACCAGAGGATAAGCTACGTGACTTAGTACGCACTGGCGAAAAAGGCCTTCTTGGGCTTTGCAACTTCCTTGAAAGCCTGGTGGTGGACCACGGGGTCATGGGTGCGCTGTTTGAAGGAAAACTGGAACGGTTGATGCAGGCGATTGATGCAGTGTAAGTTAATTTGCACAATAAGAAAGCAAGCTACTAAACTCACGGCATACAGGGCTCCAGTCGTGCATGAGACCATGCCAACGGGTCCCCAGGATGTGGCACAGGCCATAGATGTCGATTCCCTTTCCGAGGCCACTGAGCCGATCTGCTCGTGCACCAGTGAACTGCCTTCACGGAAGTATTCTTGCATGGGCTATCTGATCCCCATTCCTGAGGGCAGAAGTGCGCACTCGGCCTGGCCCTTCGGCCTCCATGACAAGCTCGGCGATCCATGGGACTACACAGTGAGAAGCGGGAGCCTCTTCATTCATGCACGCACGTGTAAGCAGCAAATCACTCACCCAAACTCGAGTTGTTGTGCTTGCCGGGAGCTCGAGAATGACTCCAGCCTTGGCGGAATTGTTGAAAGAATAGAAAATGGGGTCCACGATAATGCGCCACTTGCATACCAGAGCCATGAAGGCCTGGTGAACAAGGTCCAATGCAAAACACGCCAAAACGAAGCACTGCGGCTACAAGCGCTCAATGACACACATAAACTAGCGACTAAATCACGTACCATGGCCTTATTCAAGCAATTTATCATGGCGGTCGGGAGCGGTAAAGTAGAGCGGGTTGACCGTCTTGTGCGAGTGACCATGGCTCGAGGCAGGCAGTACTGTGACTGTTGTATACAACACAGTGGCAGTAGTGCACCACCCAGTGGTACACCATTGTGGTAAACTGCCACTGGTGACAACCGTGGAATACCACTCAGTGGCAGTGGCTGTGCCCTTGCCGGGCGTCAAAACTCGGCCACCTTCCTTTTTGAGTGGATTTCATGCTCCGCGCCTTCCAAATCAATCTTGTAAATGATTGGCATAATCAGGCTTCCACGGTCAGTCCTGTTGTGAGATAGTATTGTGAGATAGTAGATTCTTCTATCGCATTTGTCCCCAATCCGTCTACCGTCCCATCGTCCACTTTGTGGACCTGCGAGCAGTAATACATGTCTTGAGATCACAATAAAACATGTGCACATACTGCAATCTCCTTCACAAAATATCATGAGACTCATAGGCTTCTGCTAAGTCCATTCTCCAACCCTTGGCTAATTTGCTAAGTCCCATACATGAGAAATGCTAAGTCTTATACCTGCACTAACTAAGTTTCTCCAAGTCCCTCAGTTCAGTCGATCATCTCGTTAAGTTCGCAAATCTCACGTTAATGAACAAGAAAGGTTTTTAACATTGACGAATGATACATAACAAAGCTGTAACTACTAGCGACGACTGTTGGAAGCACACACAGCGGAGCTACGTGTGACGCGAGTGGGAGGGACAGTCGGAGGGTCTGCTTGTTTGCGGCGCTTGCTAGAGACACGAGCAAGAGGGGCAGCCTCTGCTTGTTTGCGGCGTCGGCCGGCCAAGGTGGAGTTTTCTTTTCCAATGTTAGTGCCAGCACCTCTGCGCTCCTTGATAGTTGAACGCCTGCGGGGATCTGTATAAACAAAATACGTTACCATTAATATGGGGTACGCACCGGGGTACAGAACCCGTCTCCTCGCAGAGGTTTGCTAGGGCCTTCAAGGTGTGCTTCAAGTCGGCTGTGGCAGTAAGCCATAAGGGAGACAGGCCGACGGCCTTACCCCACCACGCGAAAGCCATCATGACGATCAGGAGTCCGTTAGACCCTGTAACCTTGAGGACACTCCAATTCTGGCCCTCCGGCGTGTGATACAAAGGAAGCGGTAGGGGGTCTGTCGAAGTACGCCATTCTGGCTGAAGATACGCCCACCAGGTGAGCAGCTCCTGCTCGTACTGTGCTATATCAGAGATGTCGGGATCAGTAGTAAAGTTTCGCCCATAGGCGAACCATCGTGCGATCTGAGGGGGGCGGTTCACAGTGGAGAAGCGTTGCTGTCGAGTTTGTGAGCCGGGTTCATGGAGGTTGAGGATACAATCACGTACCTTGGTGCCCTCAGGTTGAGCTTTCTCGAGCTGATTTCTCTCAATACCCTCCCACAGGTCTACCGCTTCACGCCAATCAGGTCCCTCGGTGGCTCGTAGACGTTTGAGAGCTTGTTGAAGCCATGAATCTGGGCGGAGGCCCTGTGAAGCCCGAAGTGTCATGTTGTGCTCAACGGTTGCGTCGTGGGAAGGACTCCTCCGTCTGTCGTTTGTATTTTCAGGTGGTGGTGAGCGGGCTGGTGGTGGTGAGCTGGAATGAGGGAGTTGTGGTTCGGCACGAACTGGCCCATCCTCTCGACCTCCAGATGTGCTGCTGGGAGCGTTCTCAGGTGGTGGTGAGTTCGAGGCTTGTGGCTCAGCCTGTGCCACTTCACCCTCAGAATGTCGAGGGGAGACGTTTTCGCTGCCATCGCCAGACGGAGGGGTGGGAGTGGGGGTTCTTGCCGTACCATCAGTGCCACCCTCCGGTTGGGCCATCTGAGGCGTTCTGTGCCCGTTACCAACAAGCCCTTCCTGAGGGATCGGAGGGCGAGGGATTGGGGAGCGAGACGATGGGGAAGGTGGACCAACGGAACCCTGATTGGGCACGTGTTCAAGTGTGCTCCCTTCCGAGGCTGGAACCTGGGCACCACTTTCCCCTTTTGGCATGAACTTGTGTCAGGCGCCCGTCAACTCTCAAAGTCAAACACGTACCACACAAATTCCTGACAAACGAGGTCCATGGCTTCATCACAACTTCGTTGAAATCGCTGTAAGCGTGTTCAAAATCAACACCATTCCTTGTTTGCCCGAGATGAAAGCTGTTTGTTCCCCTTAGCACAGATACCAGGTTTCTTATCGCCGTTGAAACGTACCTCGCCGTCTGGACCACACCAGCCGCACCACGCCCACCACTCAAGATCGTAAAGTACCATCCCGAAACGTCATGCATTTCCTTAGCGGCCACGTCCATGAGACGAGGAAGACGCCGAAGCCCTCTGAAATGAAAGGTAAGTACCATACTCGAACGTTGCTATAATATACTCACTCTTGTTGGTCATCTGGCATAGGATCGTTGTCCTCCTCAGACATTCTTCGCATTCGGCTCTCGTCCAGCGCAACCAATACCTCACTTGTTTGTTCTTCTGTCGCGCCCTTCCATGCCGCCATGATCTCAGCACCGTAGATCTTCATCCGACGACTCGATTTCTCCGCCTTCGTTTCCTGGATAAGCTCTCTAGCCGAATCACGAGGTGCCTCGTCTCGCAGTCGCTTCTGAACGGTCTTCTGGGTATCTGAGCCTTGGTAGAATCGTGCCGAATACATCTCTGTCGCCTTTCGAGAGCGCTTGCCAGTATTCTTCTGCTCATGCAGCTTCACAAGCTTTCTAATGTATCCAGGCGAATCCACGCGACAATCGGGACGCATGTGGTTTCGAAACCAGTCTCGCAGTTGCTATTAGCTCTAGATAAGTAACTTCGCTATTATTATCATGAACGAGCTAGCTTACCGCTTTACGTTGCAGGATGCCCTTTTGAGCTGTCTCCTGTTGTTCAGGTGACCATAGCTCGGGCGCAATGTTCACTACATCGGCCGCGACAGCCTTGGGGAACACGATGAACCATGCCGAAAAAAGGTCATCCCAGAAAAACATGTAATTTTTCTTTTCGCTGGCTTGTTTGTAACGCGGCCCCCATCCAGTAAGAAACTCTTCTTGGTCTTTTGTCGTCCACTTGCGGCCCATTCCTAGTTGTACAGCGCGGTGGTCTCAGGGTGGAGATTGGGTTTCCCCAGCCAATCAATCTCCTGATGGTCAAATCGCCTGAGCCAATGAAAATTGGGCATTCCTTGCTTCTGCTTCTCACGGCATTCTCATAAAGCCCCGCTACAAGCCCCGTCCCCCCCATCAGTCCCACCATGGCTATTACTACTGACTCCGAAATCTCTCGCCTTGCTGAGATGGTCGCTAGCCTCGCAGTGCAGGTGGCGGCACTAACACCTCGTACGTCTCGCCTATACTCTCGTCGTTGTTTGAATTGGCTAATATACATGATTCACAGCGGCGAACAATGCTGGCGCTGGTGCCAATCCCTCTCCTCCGGCTCCGGCGCCAACTCCCGCTCCTGTGGCTGTCGCAGCCAACTCTGCGCCTCCAATTGTCCCTGGCGACGGACCCACCATGGGTGAGCATGCCCGCCTAATTGGTTGATGATTCGTCGCTGATCGAGATTGCCAGGCTCCTCCGAAGACCAGGAAGCAGAGGCCTCGACTTGTAAGTCATAGTCTGGCAGATCGATTCCTCGGGTTTGTCCCATATTTTTAGGTTCGCACCGGCGCTGGTACGTTGTTATAGTCGGCCTCCAAGTGGGTGTTTTCCGCGGCTGGTTAGTTTGCTTTCCATTTCTTCGTGGGGGTAGACACTGATCATTGGCTAGGACGAACGCCGCCCCCCTTGTGCTTGGTGTTGCAGGCTCGATCTACAACAAGGAGCCTACCCGTGGGGCCGCCATTGTGGCTTTCAATGCCGCCGCTGCGACTGGCCAGGTCCGCCTCATTGACTAAGCTACCGTTTGTCTTGCATACCAGCCGAATATTTGATATCTCTTAATTTCAAACATGTTGTTCGTGCGCTCTTTGTCACTCCATCTGGGAGAATATATTGTTTGTCTACATCTTACAAGCGGGATCAATACAACATTGCTAGTGAGAAATACAACTATATTCCCACAGTCAATGTAGACATCAGTAAGGTAGTCTTCCCACGGTCAGAGCCAAAGGCGCCCATATCTATCTTCTCATGGGCGCTAATTAGGCCTTCAAACATAGCCTTCGACATAGGATACACCAGGGAGGTTAGTGCCAACTGCCCACCCACCACTTACGACTACGCTACGTCTGTGGTGTTGTATTCATTAACCCTCAAACAAACTCAAAAGTTTTGAAAAAACACTCACATCTTCACCTAGGTTCACATACGGGGTTCAAAGGTTACTACGAGTCGCTGCGCTCCGTTTGACCAGTCCGACACTATGGTGAGCCCCCATACGCTACAACTCTGAATACGCCACATATTCCCTTTCATTATCCTTCTAGATGTCCCACCACAGTACCAGCGCTCTTTAATACCTCACCACAGTGCCAATAACACTCAATGTCAAGTACGAACTCGCCACGATCACCACGAACTCGCCACGATCGCCACGAACTTGCCACGATTATCACGAATTCGCCACAATTGCCACGAACCCCGTCACGATCAGCGCAAACTTGCCATGCTCATCACGACCCGCCGTCCGTTTGAGTTTGCCCCATTGTCCCTCTCTTCCTCCTCCACTCCGATCTTCAAATCATGACGAATGTTCAACAAAGCAAACGCCGTAAAGCGGCCGCTTCATACTATGAAAATAAGCCCTTCATCAATTTATGCATAGTCTCGATTCATATTCCGTCTCCCTCCAGGAACAAGGATGCGCTTCGTAAAAAAGCTCGCTTACGAATGCGCCGCCTCCGCGCAAGTGACACTTCCAAGGACGAAACAGTGGCAGCCAATGCAGCCGCGTCCAAGCGTGCCTCACAGGCAAAATACCGTGAAAGGTGAGTACCCAGTTTTTGCAGACATCAAGTGCCATCCACTCAATCTATTCTGCAGTCGACGTGAAATTCTTCGCGCAAAAGAAGCACGCCGGCGTGTTAGGTTTGCAGGTTTCTATCGGATCTCCCATCTGATTTAACAAGTCATGTTTAGCAAAAAAGTGCTGGCCGGTATCATGGCCCTCTTTCCCCCGGCTGATCATGTCGACGCTGAAGAAGATAATGAATGCAGCGAAGTTAGCGATAGTGGGTATTTGGGCGACGGAAACCCATCGGACACAGACAACGAAAGCGAGGCCAAAATCGAAGCAGAAGCGAAGACGCCCCCGATAGTTCCGAAGGTGCTTAGTTCATCCAGGCGTCATGTAATGCCCCGATGGCTCGAACGAAGGCAACAATCACCATTCTCTGACAACTTGGAATAGTGGGCGTATTTAATATTTATTGATACCGTTACCTGAGGCAGATTCTGTGTGTCGACGGAAGGGAACATGGCCAACAAACAAGTTTCAAACAAGCTTCGCTCCCGTCGCCTGCACCACTGACTCCTGTAGGGCATGCGGATCCCTTCCCGAAGCCAGTACGTTTCCTCTCGCAATAACAACTGAACACCCAGGCTGAAAGAACTTACGTGTCCCCCATCGCTTGCCACCCATGCCCCCGCCCGATCCACATTCCTCAGCGTACACCCGACTCCGAAAACGCAAGCGGCACACCAGTCCCACTGCGCACGATGTTCTACCTCCAGCAATTCGCCCCCGGACGGTTGTGGAAATCGAAGGGCCAGATGTTCAGGATGAGCTGGACGTCGAGAACGATTCGGATGTTCCGAGTGAACCAGATGTCGAGAACGACCCAGACACCGAGGACCCAGACACCGAGGACAATACAACCGAGTTAGACAGCAGGTCTGCAGAGTCGGAAACAGACACTGAAGAAGAAGATAGTCGTTTCGCGCCCGACCACTATGGACCTGGTCTACATTACTTTGTAGGCGACATCCCAAAGGCCCAATCCCGACACGTACTGACCACCGCACGTAGCACAACCGTCGTTGCACAAATGCTCAATGCCGGCGGGATATCCCTCGCAAGTCATTGATGCGCTGCGGCGCGTGCTACTTGGTAACTTATTGCGTACGTCCTTTCTATTGCCGCAGGGTATCAACGCACTGATGAACCACTAGACTGTTGACTGCCAACAAGCCGATTGGAAAATGCACAAGCGGGTCTGCCAGCTCGTCTCCGCTGAACCACATGCTCGTGCAATGGTACGATTCAATTACCGATACGGACGCTACATCCACGCCCTCGCTCTCTTCATGTTTGGGTATTGCGACCTCGTGGCGGGCCCTCGACGCGATGAAATCTGGAAGAAGAGGGTCAATACCCACGCCGTTGTGCTCCACGTACGCCAACACGGTTATACGGACTCTCATCACCCATACCACGACTACCACTACTCCTCCTGCTATCTCTTCCCCATCAAACTACTCAATATCATTGAAGAGGGATGCAGAGCGCGCGCTGAAGCCCTTCTCCAAATCCGTCAGGAGGAGAAGACCTGTATTGTGGTCATTATGTTTGAGGACAAGGTCGGCTTCAGCCTCGGCGCTCGTGCCTTCCTGCACAAAGTCGACGAGTTTGAGATCAATCAATACGCCCGCACCTCTACTTACAACGCTCCTCACTCGTTCCGTCGAATTTTACTCCACAAGGCTCGGAAAGCCACACCCGTTTCTGTCATAGAATCACATATCTAGATAGAGTCGTTGTTTATTTTTTGAGCTCTAAATACATCTTTCATGGCAGTCAATAGTGAGACGGCCTTCTTTTTCTTAGTCGTAAGTTTGCCGAAGGCTGCCCTAAAGAATGGGTCACATGGTCTCACATGGTTTTGTTGGTGGGCACTGGCGCGACTCCACTGGCGCTAGCCATGTCCAAGGCAAAACGACGACGTATTACTTTGGCGTTTTCGTTATTCGTCGAGGACGCTCCTCCTGCAGATATCGCGTACCGACATGTCTCATATCAGAGCCACGGGAGCTCGCTTCGCCGGTCCACAGGCTCTGTCCTGCTCCCCCCACTTCTGGATAGCCAATCTCCAGCATGGGAACCCGCTTGGAACAACGAATACACCACCTCTGAGCAAAACTCACTATCCCCCCCTGATTCCTCAAGTACCCTCCCTGATCCCAGTAACTTTGGAGACCTCGATATAGCGTACATCAATGAGCTTTCAGAGCTTGACATAGAGCTGGTCAAAAAGCGAAATCGGACAGCGGCAGTAAGTGTTTGATTTGCGTGGTAACTTTAGGGTACATGCTTATCCAGTAGGACGAACCCCTGGCCAGTTGGCTACCGTTTAGACAGCAATATCTACTGCAGCTACTTAGGAAGGCCGGTCGTGGTTGGGCGGCTAGTGCCATTGTCTGCCCCGGTTGTTCAGCCCCCTCCACCGATACTACCTTCCGTTGTCTCAACTGCCTCGATGAGGCACTCTACTGCGAGCAATGCATCGTTATTAATCACCGACGGACTCCTTTCCATCGCATAGAGGTACGCGAAGTGTCTCTAGTTCTTAACCCACAAATTCACAATATCCCTTGAAGCGTTGGACTGAAGAATCGTACTTCGTTCCTCACAGCCTCAAGGCGCTGGGCCTACGGATCCAACTCGGCCACGACCTGGGCAAGATATGCCTGAACCCCACTCGAGCCAAAGCTGATACTTTCGTGGTCATTGACGTCCAAGGCATACATGAAGTCGGTCTCGATTTCTGTGGCTGCCAAACAGCTCAGCCGCTTACCGTCCAACTTCTACAACGAGGACTTTTCCCCTCTACTGTCTCGACTCCTCAAACGGCGGCCTCATTCCAGGTCCTCGACCTTTTCCAAATGCTCTCGGTTGAAGGGCAGGTTTCCGCGTTCTGGCTCGATTAACCGATAAAACCGAAATTGATGCACCCCGAGTTCGTCCATTTGACAGTGCTACCCATGGATAAAACTGATCGTCTTCTATAGGATCGATATACGCAATTCCTCCGCATGAGCCGCGAATGGCGGCACCTTCACCAACTCAAGCGCGCAGCACGAGGCCATGACCCAGAAGGGGCCGATGGAACCCAACCAGGAGAGCTGGCCGTCCTATGCCCAGCATGTCCGCAGCCTGGCAAGAACTTACCTGTGGCAACGGAACACGATAAGTGAGTACTGGGAGTACGTATGCCGCAACACATCTGATCTATTTTTGTTAGCTGGTTGCATACGCTGTTCATTGGCATCGATGCCAATTTCCGTCTGAAACGGAAGAACGTCTCCAGCGACGTCCTGGATCCTGGCCTCAGTCAGGGATGGAGCTACTTTGTGGAGGACAAGACATATCAAGCCCACGTCACCAGCGATGAAACACCGGTGGAGAAAAGTTCCTGTGTGTCACACAAGGCCGTCAACGACGCAGACAAACGCCCTGCGAAGGGCCTGGCCGTCAATGGGGTGGGGACGGTCAAGTGCACGCGACATGATTTCAAACGCCCTCTGTCAGTCGGCGATCTCCGATATGGTGAAAGGTCAGTGGCAGTTGTTATAGGTTTCTTCATAAACTAAACACCTTCGCTAGATATGTAAATATGGACTATATTTTTTTCTCAAGCGTGAATTCCGTCGCATCCAAAGTTCCCCGGATTGTAGCCTCGTACGACATTGCATGCCAATGGCACATCCATCTGTGGCGTCGCATGGAATCTCTTCCACCTCATCTTCAGTATGCCGCCCCTCACGACTCTGTGACAATGTTGGTGCCCAAGTTCCATCTCCCAGCTCACATCGCCATGTGTCAAGCACGGTTCTCTTTTAACTACACCCCGGGCGTCGGGCGAACCGACGGTGAAGCGCCAGAACGTGGCTGGGACTACCTGAACCCAGCAGCCAATCAAACGAAGGAAATGGGTCCAGGCTCGCGTCGTGAGCTTCTGGATGATCTAATGGGGGACAGAAACTGGAAGAAGACTGTCGCGCTAGGTACGTTCGCCAGTTTCTTTCTACAAGGATACACATGGCTAATGAAACATTTGTAGGCAATACTTTACTTCGGCGGTTGAAGGAGGCTATCCCCCAATGTAGTACGCATGTTGAGAATCACCGCGAACTGGAAGCGCACCTGGAACCGGTGACAATTCTCGAATGGCGCTCGCTAGTCGAATCATGGGAAGCCGATAATTCAAAACCCAACCCCTACATGGCGGAAACAACAAGTAAGTAGTTATTACATTAGCTTTTGCTTTCACGCTAACATCCCCTAGCACTATCGCAAGATGCCGTTCGCCTTCAGCTCGCCAACGAAGAAGCGGAAGCCCTCGCAGCTGGCACGCTAGAGCAGCTTCATCTCAAGGTGACGCCCCTCATGTATATTGCCTCGGGATTGGACCTCGAGCTGCAACAGTAAGTAGTGGCATATCCGCTATTTACTCTACTCAAATCTGCGTCAGACACCAGCTCCTCGAAGCTGTGGCATCACTCGGCCAACACGCCACCGACCGACAATGTCTCGCAGTCGTCAATCGTGCAAATACTCTGCGTATGAAAATTTCAAACTTCCATGATGTCCAGAAGCTATACTGTCCGAGTGCGTTTCGCATTGTCACGCAGGCAAACGATGCCAACGAAACATCATCTAATCCCACCGAGGACGTCGCTCGACTTCGGCTCTGTCTCCCATCTACCTTCAGGACACCACTTGGATGCAGTGAGGAACTGCGCGCGATCGAATGGCAATTACGATACGCGCAGGCCCTGGACGCTCTTAATGCTCTACGGGTGGGTCTTCATCTACGGGTCTCTGTCTTCCACTACAAAGATCGCTTTGATCGTGGCCAACGCGCTCTCACTCGATCAATGGGCAACATCTCACGCGTCCAAGGCCAAATTGATAGAGCATCCCATCGCTACCGCGTTGCTCATGCGGCTCTCTCAGTACTGGCCCGATTTCTTGGCAAGGACGACAGCTGGCGCGCTGAGCTCCAGGAGCTGAAGACTGAGGATATTCGCGGACTCGGCGTGGCGGATATTGACAATCTCGGCGAAGGTTACCGCACGATCTCGTGGATTTGGAGAACAGCAGGAACGGCAGGTAACGAAGAGCGCGACGACGGACTCCACAGCTCCTTGTGCCTTGAGTGGTGCAAGAGCCGTGCTCGAGCCTTGAGATGGAGTGAGGAGGTGTTGCTGCTGCAGGAGGAAATGCGGCGTGTATTGGCTTTCTTGCGCTGGCAAGCGGAGTGGTGGAAGGGCCAGATTTGTGACGACGAAAGCATCCCTGGTCCTGAGGTCCTGAGGGAGGGATTGAATGCCTATGCGCGACAGCAAGCCAACATTAGGACTCGTTTAGCAGGGAGCTTTGAAGCGAGGTGGGCCTGCGTGCCTCAATTTCTCGAACTATACAACCCTCTCCACCCCCCTGAGGGGCCGCCAACCTAGATATATACATGTATTTTTGCTTAGTCTGATTGGAATCCATTCATTTTGCGGCCATAGTATTTAAATATGAGTAAATATGAATAATTCTCCCTTTTAGGCAACCTGTGAGTTTGGGGTGGGCGCTGGGCAGCGGAATTGGAACTCCCCAATAAGGGTCTCTTGCCTTATGCAGTAGGTGAACCCAGTGGCAACTTGGTACATTGGTGTACTAATGGTTGTGTGGTACCATGACTAGTGGTATACCACTGGCACAATATCTAGTGCTCGAGGACACGGAATTCGAGGTCTGCTGGAGTTGTACGACAAAGCAGCACAAAAGGTTTACCGTCCTCGCAATTATACTGAGGAGGACAAGCTGCGGGGCTTGTTATTTTGGAGACTGGGTGGAGACCGTGTAGCTGGCATTGCACACCGTTCACTCCAGCTTCCTTCCCCAAAAACTCTTCGACGACGAACTATTGTTGCTCCAATTCGTGTCTCCCCATCCACCCCAACGACTATCGAAGTCAAGTCCAATATCAAAGCGTGCTTTGATCCACTGCGAGCGACAATGGAGGAAAAGCAAGTCGTCTTTCAGGTCCTCATGTTTGACGAGTTGAAGCTGGAGGAGAGACCACAGTGGGAGGACGCGACAAACATGGTGCCTGGTGTATGCCGGGAACATGGTTGGAAAACGAGCTTGGAGCTGTGCACGGAGAAGGAGGTTGACCTGCTTTTCGAGGCCATCAAGGCAGGGGATGTTCACCTTGCAACGGAGGTGTGTAGTGCGGCGATGATCTTGGCTGTAAAGTTTCTCACGTGGTGACCAGGCAACTGTTGGTGCGATAGGGGTTCTCAGTGGGGAGGGCCGTCTTTATGGTGCTCGTCCAGTCCTTGTATCTGGCTCGTGTAAACGCGAAACCGGGCTGGAACATGCTCAGCTTATCCAGCATGTCATTGATGCTAGTCAAGCAACATCCTTGCGAACGATCTCAATTGCATCGGACGGAGAATCACGACGTGGAGAAGCATTGGTCCGCTTAACGTTCAAGCATGCCTTAAAACCCACATCACCACTCTATCCCTTACTCAGCCAGCTGCCATTTTTCAATCTTGAAGTCGGAGATGATGACATTACGGCGGATAAGGATTACAAGCATGTGTTTAAACGCTTGCGAAACCTACTGCTTCGAGAGAAAGGTCTTACCGTTCATGGAGTCCATATCAGGCCTTCCGTTATCAGAAACCAGTTGCAAAGCAACAAGATCTCGGGCGGGCGTATCAACCACCTGCTGAACCCCGCAGACAAACAGGATGTCAAGCTTGCCTTTGATCTCCTGCGCGAAATTTGGTCACTTCCTCCTCCTCCTCCCGGTTCAAGCCCCTCGTTTTACGACACTCGAAAGGCCCTGTGTACCCTAGGCCAGGTATTTCGTCACGTCATGCTTCCATACATATGTGTCGACTTGTCCCTTTCCGAGCAGCTCACCCACTTGAGCGCGGCAGCACACCTACTTCTCGCCTTGGTATCCGAAAACGAGGGTGTCACGAAGTTGATGCCTACCCAGCTCTACATCGACATGATGATCATGGTCAAAAATGTATACTTTTGTGTTGCCAAAGCCAAAGTAGACGCACCGGATAGCCAATTCTGGATCACCCTTCTCGGAACAGACCGTTTGGAGACCCTTTTTGGGATTCTTCGAACAATGATTGGGAATGATGCAAATGTAGATGCCTACCAGCTTGGATCAAGGCTAACAGGGACAGCCGAAGTCTCAACCATCCTTGCGAAGCACCCTGAATGGGATCGAGCACCCCGCCGCCTCAAGCTACCTGTTTTATCCAAGGACGGCTTTGACATCCATTCGGATGTGGATCATGTCAATCCAGCGTCGTGGAGAGGCAATGTACGGGTTCGGCAAGTCCTTCTGCAAACATGTTGGAAACTCGGCTGCCAGATGATGGAGGACAATAATCCGGATTTGGCGGTTATGCTTCGTGGGCTTTCTGAACGCTTGGCGGACCTGTCTTCGCCACTTGGCAATGACTTGATTTGTGCTAGACGCGACACCAATGATGTCGACGATACCCTCGAGCGCACCGCGGTAACTACCCAAACAGCTGCTTCCGTAGCTCCGGATGTTGAAGATGCTGCTGTGGAGAACGAACCGCAGGGGATGGCACCGGCTTTTTTCGAGATCGGTGGCAAGCGCGTGTCAAAGGCGAAGTATTTGACACAGGCCTTCAATACCTTCCGAAAGCCAGGCTCGCGAGATCGGCTCAAGCGGGTCGCTGATGGCCAAAGATATGCTGTTTTGACATCGACCGATCTGCAGGTTGACGATAGCCAGACCCAGCCTGTATTGTCTGATGATGTCATCACGTTCGGCATTCCTATCGTTACTCTCATGCACTGCGACAACCGTTACTTTGTTGGTATTGGCGAGGTTACCGACATCACATTCAATGGCAAACATGTTCAAGAACTTCCCGTGAACTTTGCATCTGAATCGTCTGCATTCGTGTCATTTCAGTTACTTTTCCTGACTCCTACGATGTCAGATGATGATCCTACCTTGCTTAACGACTGGTGATGGTCATCCCGGCGTGGCACTGAGTACCGAGCTCCAGGCGCCCTGGCACAACCAATCGATACCGAGTTAACGGAGCCGTCCGACAGAGTACCGCTGTACCTCTTTGATAGCAAGACTTTGATCGGGATGGGGATGCAGCTATTCGCGATTCTCGCCAGCCGCAGAGACCTAGAAACGGCAGTGCCAACTGTGCCCGTTTCTAGCGAGTTTCCATATAGAGAGCGCACAGGGAAAGCTTGCTTTCTATGTGAAAATATCGGTGAGATGGGGCACGAGGATAGCAACGAGAGGAAATGCACATACTGCAGTCCCTCCGTCAAGTTACCAGACTCAGCGCCAAGGATATTGGAGCATAACGCCGCACACATCCATTTCAACCCAAAGATCAACGCGTCAGCGCAGCCTTGCGGACTCTGCCTGAGGCCGCATGTCTGTGTCTTCTACCTTCGGAAAGGCAAGGGCGCCGGTGCTTCTCCCACAGTCGATCACGACAAATCGAGCTGCACGAACCTAATGCCTTTCCGCTATTCCAAAGCAGCGAAGTCTGATGCCGCGGCGCCATGCTCCAATGTACCCCTCCACTGCCCAAAATGCCCCACCAACGCCCCAGCGATCTGGCGTTACAACCTACTGTTCCACCTCCGGGAGAAGCATCCAGCAGTTGTCCTGGAGCCACTCAGATCACTATGGTTTGTCTCTGAGACGGAGAAAGAGCTTTTATACGGAATATGGAAAAATCGGAACAAGCAACGGAAGTTGCGACGCCGCGCGAAACCGCCGATGATACTGACTGTCTCCGATGCGCATACCACAAGACGAGCATTGAGGTGAGCAACGAAGTAATTGATTGGCATGTTTATAGCTAACTATTCTGTGCATAGTCCGGGTTGTGGAACAACGATGGAGGGTCAAAAGTGGGGTGATGACAAAATGGTGGACTCGGAGGCAGACGAGGAAGAGGAAGAACATGGCGAGTGGTTTGACACGGAGATTGTGGACTCGGGAAATGACGATGATGATGACGACTCTGAAAACGCTAGCGAAACAGAAGTAAATTGTGGTCAGCGACCTGATCCTGAAGCATACGGCCAAGCGGACTCACCAAACGCCCTGGATGCACCCCAACAGCCATCGGACCTGGCACAATTGCATAACAGCACCCCAGCGCAGTCCTGCGACGACTCTGAAGACTCCATGATGACTTTGCAGGCCGGTCTGGCACCACCCCTGGACGTATATCTGGCGGTCCACCACATCTCCAGATGAACCCCAGGTGGTCCCCAGGTGGTCCCAGCCAGCCCATTTCCGATCAGTTTTTTACCACATGGATGCCACCTGATCACCACTTTTTCCATGCAAGTTCACTTCAATTCATTTTTGTCCACTCTTTTACCACCTGGTGACCACCTGGATACCACTTCAGATATTGAATGTTGTCCATGTGAACACCAGGTGGTATCTAGGTGGTGAAAGAGTGACTACATGAGTATATTGTTCAAAGTAACTAAGATACAAGTTCAGGTGGTGTTCAGGTGATTACCAGGTGGTGTCCATGTGGATTGTCAATTTACAACATTACACAAGTCTTAGATGGCAGTTGGATGGTGTTCATCTGATATCCACATGGCATTCATGTGGACTGTGTAAGAACCATACATTGACCATCTAGCTACCACTTGGTATCCAGGTGGTGTTTGTGTGATATGACTGAGTTTTGACAAAATTCAAGTACAACCTGATATTCATGTGACTACCAACTGGTGTTCATCTGGTCTAAATGTGGCACCCAGACAATATTCAGATGAATGCCACATGAATACCAGTTGATCCCCAGATGGGTGGTTTCCAGGTGATATTCAGATGTTAGATAGGTGGTGATCACTTGGATACCACCTTATTACCAGGTAATAAGGTGGACGTCTCAGTAAACATAAACACATCCATGTAACTAGTCATGGATGACAGTCATATGGTGTCCATGTGGCTCCCAAGTGGCATACATGTGAGTGGATATCAGGTGAGTGCCAGAAGATAACCAGGTGAACATCTTGGTGAAACAGTACAAGTCCAAAGTGGTGTTTATCTGATGTCCAAGTGGTATTCGGTTGAGTATCAGCTGGCATTCATCAAGATGTGAAAACCATGTGGTGTCCGCCTGGATACCACTTGGAAGTCATGTAAGTATCAAGTAGATATCAGATGAATGCCAGATGGACCACAGGTGAAGTCCATTTATCTAATACTCAATAATATCCTCATCATCACTTTCCTCATCCTCAACCACCTCTTCTATTCCTGCTGCCTTCTTATTTTTCTTCTCCTGCTGCCTGGCAATGACTCGTTGGGTATGCAGGAACAGCAATACATGCATGGTGAAGTCAAAGTTGCTGACAGTCATCCGGTTGAGGACTGTCTGAAACCCACCCAACCATGCATTGAGTTGCTCACAAGCCTAGGTACAAGCAAATCAGACAAGTACAAGCAACTGAGTAGTATGATCACTTACCTGAGTATTGAAGGCCCTCTTGTAGTAAGGCCTCCCCTCCTTGTCTTCATCAACCACTACCAGGTTTGGAGCAGCACCATTTAGAGGTGCAGGATTGCACCAAGTCCGACAGAGGTAGTCAGTGACACGATGGTTGATGTAGTGGTAGGAGTCGACAATGATCCGAGTGGTGGGTTCCCAAGCAGGCCAGTGATGCTGCTTGACAATGTGCTTGAGCAAGGCACACCCCTTGTCAATAGCAATGTAGCTGGGTCGGAAGTTGGGGTCTTCATAGACATCGTCAAGGAAGCGAAGAATCTTGGCCACCCCTTCAGCCTTGGCAAACTTGCGCCAGGCAATCACCACACCACATGGAGCACAGATGGTCTCCACACAGTAGAACCTAGGAGCAGAGAAGTAGTTGTTGTACTTGGTGCCACTGACCTCTTCAACCTCTTGCTCCTCCAGGTTGTCATGTTCAAGCTCCTCTGCCCCTGCAGCACGAGGTAGCCACTCCTGCCTCTCCTTCTGAGCTCTCCTCAATATCCGCTGCACTCCAAGAAGTGAGGTGTTGGCATAGCGTCCACGGAATGTCCTCCACTGCTCCTGGTGATCTTCACATGCCTGAGTACGACCAACCTTGTTCTTGTTGCACCCCTTCATATGGCAATGGTCCTCCGTCTCCTCCTCATGCTCTTGACAGAACACTCCAGTCTGAGCATTGAGCAGCCCTGCCTCACAACCTGCAATAGCACAATGTCGAGGCCCCATGACAATCCCATCAATGACAACCATGCGGACATCTGCATTTGTGTGAAGTGCAACACCTCCAGCAGGTTCAGATGCATCATTGGCTGGGACATTGTCAACATCCATAGCCTCAGCATCTGCAACAGCTGCTGCCACAGCAGGTCCTGCATACTCAGGCACATCACGATTTTCATCATGACCAGCAAGAGCAGCGGGATTGTCATCCTGGTTGGGAATGACATCAGCCACATCTTTGAATGCATGACAGCACTCATCGCATGAATGCCCAACTGCGCTGCGGATGATCCCCCCATCTCCAAGGTACAAGTAGGCAGCGGCGACAAGCTCACTGATCTTCAGATTGTCCATGAAGATCATGGTGGAGTTGCTGAACCCTGCAAGAAGGCGGATAGACTCCACAACAAAGGCTTTCCAGACTTGTCTGTGAGTGAGGGTGAATGAAGCACCACTGGGCTGGACAAACGAGTAGTTCCAGAACTCCGTTATTGCTGCAGTTGAGGCATGAAAGCTGTAGTTGGCATTCACAATTGCCTTGGAGACAATGCAATCCACCCAGACCTGCTTTCCGACTTTGAGGTACTTGGCATTGGGAAGATAGAGGGCGAGTTGTCGGTTGTTGTCAATGAAGCTCTCGTGGTCTGCCCAGAACATAGTGGAGCACTTGGGACATCTACCAGCCAATACCGGAACCTTCTCAAAGCACTCACTTCCACGAAGCAAAGTGACTTTGGAGATATCACGGTCGCGGAGGTATTGAGTGAGACCATGGCCATGACAGCCAGCACTAGAGCAGCCCATGACAGGAGGGGTGATGAGGATGATAGGCTGGATAGAGGAAGTGGAAATGGGCAGGAGTTTGCGACGTAGTTGGTGTTTATCATTATGCGTGTAGAGATCCAGAAATTGACAGAGAGAGTCGAGTTTTTTTACCAAGTATGGTGGTCTGACTCTTTGCAGTACACGATTTGTGGTTGTCTCCAGGCAGGAAGAGGGTGTCGAAGATGGTCTCAGCACTCACAGAAGTGTCAGAAGAGCCAGAGGAGCCAGAGCCAGAGGAGTTCATGTCGTCATCAGATCCTGAGATGGAATTGCCATCAGAGGCATCCATGTTGTCCTCAGAGGATCCAGAGTTGGAGTTGTTGTCTCCAGCACCAGCATCATCATCAGAGTCATCAGGGATGTTAGAGACATCAACCTGAAGCTTGTCTTTGATGGCACGGACAAAGGCAGCCATCCAGCTGGTGACCACCTGGTTGTTACTATCTACAGCCTTCTGTTGTCCATGCAAGTTGAGAATGTCGGTGTTGCTGGTGATGCTGAAGAGGAGCATCAGAACTGTGGCAAGAGTAATGTTCTCACCAAAGGTCAGCTTGACAACTTTGGCAAAGTCAGCAAACCGGATGTCAGGAAACGAATCTTCCAGAGGGGCTGCAGCAGCACATGGAAGGAGTCCCAGCAAGAGGAAGAGGGATAAGATCATCCAGAAGGCCTGTAAACAGAAACTGGGCAAGTCAGTATTTGTTGAAATTCATTGAAGTTCAGACGAAAAAGAGCCAGTAAAATGACTGTTGCATTTCAACTAATACAAAGAATAGCTACCTACTTTGTAGCCTTCTTAGCTGCAGCCTTCTTCTTTGCATCTCTGGCTTTCTTTGCCTCCTCTGCCTTCTTCTCTGCCTCCAACTCGTCCAGAACCTTGGCCAAAGTGTCCTTACCAGGCTTACGAGCTCCCCAGAGCATAGTGTGAGCACTGGAGGTGACGTCGTACTTGGGGTTGCGCAACATGTCCATGATGATGGGAAAGAAGACGGAGTGGTCAAAGAGGGCGGTGTAAGTGTTAAAATTGGTCTTGCCAACGAAGATAGAACAAAGGGTCTTCTCCGAAACATTACCTCCTGTCCATGGAGTTGTCAAGCTGTCCCACTTCTCTTTGGCCTCCTTGGCAAGCTGAATCCGAGCATACATAGACCTGAGCGAAGGAAGCCCAGGGGCTGAAGCAGCTCCATGGTTCGTCATGTGGTAGGGTACCCCCATGCGAGTTGCAATTTGCAAAAGGAGGGGTTCGTCACGGAAGGCAGCAGTGAGAGGGTTGACAGCGATATCAAGGGTGCCGGCAACAGAGACAGAGGCAGAGGGGGTGATGGAGGAGACTGCAGAGGGGGCAGCCGAGGAGTTGATGGAAGGAGAGGGAGGCGGAAGGTAGGAGACACCAAGCTCAGATGGTTGCTGTAACAAAGTTAGAATTTTTTAAAAGTCAAGTTGGAATTTACATACTGTAGTAGTGAATATACACGTAGACTAGTAGTATAGTCAAATGAAATGTGAGGGTCCGCCTCTGGCAGGACAAGTCCGTGCGACACCCGAATGAACTAAGTGTGATAAACGATGAGTCCGAGAGTGAAAACAACGACTAGGAAACTTCGGATGCTTTGGATGGCTTCGGACGCGCTCGGACGCGGAACAAACAACTTCGGCTTCGGATAGTATGATGAGGACGGCAGGAGAATGATAAGGATGGCAGGAGAACTGGCTTCGGATCGAACTCGGACTCGGATGACGGCGAACTCTGACAACGGAGGAGGAAAGCTTCTCGGACGACTTAGATTCTGACTCGATGTGGGGCGGAAACAAATCTTATTCTTCTAACTACGAGTACAGGAGGCTTTTGTAGCTACGAAAAATGTCAGATGAAGGAAAAGTCTGAAACGAAAAGGCACCAGGAACGAGTGATGGTGCTAGTATAGTCCAAGTATTAGAGTCTGAAAGCAAAAGATACGAAACAATGATCCGCGGTGTCTGATCTGTTATCACGTGTGTCCGGTACGGGTTCGTGACGTCCGAGTCATGTGCGAGTACATCCGAGGAGTCGGAGAGGGGTCGATAGGGGATAGGAGAGGTCGGACTGCACGGAACGAAAGGGTTCAACCCTTACAATACAATTCCAATTCTGAGCTTGTTCTTGTCATCCCAGATGACAGCCTCATTGTCCCTGACAGCAGTGGCATAAGGCCCCTTGGCTTCCCAGAAGTGGTCCTCTGCATCCCAGAGCAGGATGTCAGAGTCTGATGACAAGCAATGAGTAAAAAAACGCGAAGCAAAAAGAAAGAACTTACTAGTAAGAGCCACCATCTTCTTGGCAGCAGCAGTGAGGACAGGCCCCAGAGTGTTCTTGATGGGGACTTTAACCCCAACAGGCCTGGCACCCTCCAGAGGCGAAGCCCCATCCTTGAAGACAAGGAGCATGCCCATGACAGGCGGGGCATCAGACTCCTCGTTGGTGTCTGGATATCAAGTCAGAATTGGACTTGTAGAGAAAAAGAGAACTCACCAAAGTCAGCCATGTTCAAGGCAACACCCATGGCCTTGCCTCTAGCAAAGCCACCCATAGTATGGGATGCGCCTTGCAAATCGTCAAGGTCATCAGATGTAGGAGAGGGGGGAGCTCGGTGAGAGGAAGCACTAGCATGGGTGATGTCCTTGCGTACACCCTTACCCATCTGACGAGCGGTGGTGGGTGAAGTGCTGGCTCTGCGCTTGGAGGCAGTGGTGGGTTTGGCGGGGGTGGCAGGGCGCTTGGGAGTGGTGGGGTCAACCTCCATGGTGTCGTCGTCATTGTCTGACAAGTCAGCAGGCATGGGCACCTCAGCGGAATTGTCCTCATTGTCGTCCTCATTGTCAGTCTTCTTCGGCTCACCATCTTCATCGCCATTGCTACCAGCATCAGCATCTTTCTCCTCGTCACCCTCTTCATCAGACTTCTCAGCCTCTGCATCTTCTCCTTCATCTTTCTCCTCCTCTGCATCCAGCGAACCCAGATTGGTAAGGTCTCTACCTTTTCCCTTGTCCTTGGTGGCGATCTGGGGGACATCCTCTGGCTCTTCATGCCTGATGCGAGAGGTGGTGATGCTCGGAGTGATTGGAGCCAAGGTGACTCCAGTCCCAACTTGACGAGCAGGTGGTGCAAGCGGAGCACCACTCTCCTGAAGTGTCCTAGCAGTACTGGTGCAAAAAGATGAGTTGTACAATCACAAGTAATGACAAGCAAAGACTTACGCAGTCAAATTCTCTACCGTAGTCTCATTAGCTTCTTCATCAGCTGCATCACGGTCGGCAGAGGTGCTATGGACAATGAGCATAAGCAAACAGAGGGATACAGGCAGTAACTCACATATTCTTGTTCTTCTTAGCCTTGGTTTGTTTCTTCTTGGTTACAGGGATGTCCACACTATCAGACAAGTAATTGATTGTTGATTTATTTGAGATTTAAAAGGATTTATTTATATTTATTCTATCTACTACTCATGATGTATGACTACTGACTACTGGTACACTACTGGCAATGACAAACTCACATGAGCTCCCGCTGCATGGCCTTGGTTGCAGACCTGGTGGACCTGGGCTTGGTAGAAGCCCTGTGGATGGGGGCCAAGGGGGGATCAGGGGTACATGTTGATGACCAGGGGCCAGGGGTAGACAGGGGGTAGGGGTGAGGTGTAAGGGTGTGGGGGTGTGTCGTCATCGAGAACAGGGTGCAGGCGTGCGTGGGGGGCATCGTCGAGAATGGGGTGCGGGCGTGCATCATTGTTGGCGACGTCGAGAACAGGGGTGTGTGGATACGCAGGGGGCGTCATCGTCGAGAACAGGGTGCGGGGTGCGTCGTCGTCGAGAACAGGGTGCGGTCGTGCGTGGGGGGGCGTCGTCATCGAGAACGGGGGTGTGGGAATGCGTCGTCGTTGAGAACGGGGATGTGTGGATACGTGGGGGGTGTCATCATCGAGAACGGGGTGCGGGGTGCGTCGTCGTCGAGAACGGGGTGCGTGGGGTGCGTCATCGTCGAGAACGGGGTGCGGGCGTGCGTGGGGGGCATCGTCGAGAACGGGGGGTGTGGAGATGTGTGGGGGGCATCGTCGTCGTTGTCGTTGAAAACACGGGTGTGGGGATGCGTGGGGGCGTCGAGCGTCCGGGCAAGGGCAAAGGCGTGGGTGGTGTGAAAGTGGGGGATGTGGGCATAGGGCATGGGACACAAGTGGGGGCAGTGTCAGTGAAAAAAACAGAAAAAACTGGGGGACACACTCACATTGTGGTCCCCTCCTCCTTGTTCTTGCGCTGTGTCGAAGTGGGCTTGCGTGGGGGCATATTGCTATGGTGGGTTGTTGGGGGGAAGGCAGGGGGATTGGGGATGGTGGTGGTTGAGAAGAAGAGGTGTCGTGTGCCAGCGTGGCACGGCAGTCACATGTGCGTGGCGTCGCGCTGATTGCCGAAAATAGGCGCCCGTCCACAAAAAGAAAAAGAAAAAGAAAAAGAATATTAATAATCGTCAATAAGCGCCAAATAAGCGCCCGTCCGAGGAAAATGACTTATCTTTAGATAACTGTTGCTAATCCATTTCTGGCTGTCCCAAAGCGGAAATTACACCAGAAAATTCCAAAGAAACTCAAATAAATTGCTAAAAATTCATAGAAAATCATAGAAAATACAATAAAATAAGATAAAATCATAACAGCACTACAAAATAACATATTGGCCATGACATTGCCATGTGATATCCACATGAATGCCAGATGAACCCCACCTCAATACTAGCACTTTGTCTACCTGGTATATGGGTGGCATTCATGTGGTGTTCAGGTGGAAATTCAAGTGAATACCACATGGACATCACATGGATACCACTCATCCAGTATGGCTCACCTGGTGTCCACCTGGTAAAAAAGTGGCCAAAAGTGGTAAAAAAGTGGCATTTCTGGGCCATTACAGCCAAACCAAAATCCACCTTTTTGCCACTTGAATGCCAGGTGAGTCCAGGTGAACACCAGGTGAATGCCACCCACCCACCTGATTCCACCTGGGGTCCAACCGAAGATGTGGTGGATCGTCAGGTGCTCAATCAATCGCAATACAGAACGGCAAGTACCTGCTCAATGGTGTTAAATTCTATCTCCTCCTCGCTCTTGACGCTGTCGTCGATCTCGGTTTTGTTATGCATCACCTCCTCGCTCTCGCTATTGTCACCGCTGTTGTCTCCATCTTCATCTGTAGCTTTGTGAGGCGCCTGACAGCGGTGAATGGCTCCATTAACATGGGGCTGGGCGATGGCGGTTGACCCGTTGTCGGATACGGCATGGTCAGACTGGCGGCCATCAATGCTTTCGGTTGAGTATCGCTTGCGTGCTGGCAAGCGCTTTGGCATTGCACGTGCCACTTTGCGTACTGGCAAGCGCTTAGGTGTCGCACGAGCGACTGGCCTTAGTGGACTGGCTCGGGAGAGAGCCTTCATCTGTCAAACAATGAGCCGGAGGCAGCTGAGTGTCAAGTATAAGCTACTTACCGGTAGAAGGGTACCAAGTCGTAGAGAACGTCGAAGCTTGTGGAACCTTGGTGATCGCCTCAGGACCAAAGCAGTGGACGGCATTGTAAGACAGGAAAGAGTAAGGAAAAGGAGACTGGAACGATGGAAGGAGCGGCAAAGTCATTTCTGTAGAATCCAGATTTTAAAGCGGCCTGTATACAAAGAACTAAAGTGAACAAAGGTGAGTTTCCAATATCACACAAAGCAACCAAATTTTAATTGCCGGAGTTGTGGTTGATTCATCGAAAATTTGCCTGGGGTATTTGAGTTTTGGCTGTGATTCGAGAAAACGATTGGAAAGCAAGGAATTCCATCCGTAATTTACATGTATATGTTGAACGTTGTGCGGATCAGTCCACACAAGTCTTGATTTGTAAGGAAATGCAGACCGAGTTTGGCTAGGGGCCAGGGGTTCTCTGACTGTCGCTTGACCTTCCAAGACCCCAAGGCTCTTCTCAAGACCCGCTGATGCTGTTGGGAGTAGTCTGCGCGTTCTTTCACTTAATTCCAAGTTTGAGACAACACAGGTGCCATGGATAGCCTCCACTCCCCAGCACTCTCGTCACCCCCATGACCATTGCTCTCGAGGGTCTGTCTGGGAATCTAACACGATCTGGAGTTCTTCTTGCGTCTCCATGTATTCATCAACGGGATCAAGGACCATTGGTGTATGTTTGCGCTTAGGCGATGTAGGGACCGATGACATTGAATTACTTCCTTAGCGTTTGCGAGAGTCCGCTAGCAAGGATAAGGCAAAGGAAAAAGACGGTCCGCTGGCTGAGAAGGACGTCAGCCTCGTGAACAACACCGGCATCCTCCCGCGTTTTCGCGAGTATGAAACACATGCTTTATGAACTCTGTGCTGCAGTGCTTCGCGCATCAGCAGGAGCTCACGGAGTACTTCCTGTGTGGTGTCCACAAGAAGGAACTGAACACGGACAACCTGCTCGAGATGCACGGGGCAATCACTGAGGCATTCGGCGCACTCCTGCGCCGCATCTAGGACCCCAGGCCCAGCACCACAACGTCGTAGGGTGGAGTGTGAATATGAACAAGAATGCAAACGGAGTGGGAGAAGAGAAAGCGATGTGACAAGAAGAAGAGAACAGTACGTATTCTCATCTTTTGTGGATCGTTTTGATCGTTGATGGTGTCTTCGTTTGGAGGGCGGGGTCTATACCAGCATTGTCGACAGCACTCGCGCAAATATTCTGGCAGCGATTCAGTTCAGAGAATGACCCTAACGACATGAAGGAAAGGAAAAGAATGATGGTATGTGAATGGGAGGCGGATGAGTACATCCTGGGCCGTAGACGATATGTTTTGAATCATATCAATTTGCTTTTATTTTGGCACCCTCCCGTAGCATAGGGCAGTTACCTAGCATTGAGCAAGCTAGACATGTGTCGGCTTGTTCTTGGGCTCTTTTGACGATTCGTCGATGTTGGTGACTGGAGGTAGCGTTGCGGTCACGGTCGTGCCCCACCTGCGTACATCAGCCATTGATGGGGCTTCTTCGCCCACTCCACACGCCTCAAGTCACTGCCTTCTGCTAACCCCCCCGAAATATGCACCATATCAGTGTTTGTAGACCAGGTGATGTCAAATTGATGCCCAACGTCATCTTGGTCAAAGAGCCCTTAAATTTGTTGGGCGAGCAAAATGAATATGATGTTCTATTTTGAAGCACACGTTGGACGAGATAGCAATTGTAGAGATGAGATATAGGATGGCGATAAGCAAGCAAAGTAAGTAGGTGATGATAGCAAGTGGACAACATAGCGTACAATAGCATGTCGACAAATAGTGAATTGTGCAACGGTCAAGTGACAAAAGCAATATATAGTACATATGATTCCGTTCGCGATGCAAAAAGGGCCATTCCTAGACAACGCAACATTAGATTACTCCGGTAACTGAAAGACTGTACGCACCTCAGATAATTTCGTATTAGCAGTTATAACTTCGTCGATCTCGTACAGTACCAAAGAGGTGACCGAGACGTTGGAAGAAAGTCTTGAAGAGACCGTTGCGCAGATTGCACTGGTGGGCAGGGTCCGGACCCTCCCTGGCACAACCAGGTGATATGGACGAGGCGCAAGGTGGGAGCGAAACTTGTGAAATGGACGTGCCTGGTATGATACATGCACCCGGTAGGACACTGGGGTGGTAAAAGATGTTTCATGATCAGCATCAAATACAGCTGCACGGCTCCTGGGAAAACATTACCTTGAAAGTGAGATAGACGTCTCTCCACTGGCCAATACGCTATCGAAGACTTCTTTGAGGTTTTGATACTTCTGCGCTACTTCGCGGAGCTCCTCCCTTAACACTAGAGATGCTGTGAGTTCACTGTGTTGCAAAGTGGCGCTAGATCAAAGTGTGGTGATCAAACCAATGAGGGCCTGTGTGAAAAGAACGTCGATGCGATGAGCCTCGATGCTCTGCGCAATGATGGTGATGATGGGGCTGAACGGGTCACTTGGTTCATTGTGGACGAATTGTGGAACATCCACTAACAAGGGACGAGCAGGCAAGAAGGGAGGGGTGGACGTGAAGGGGGACCGAGGCGATTCTAATGACACTTCTTCATCAGAAAATGCAGTTGACTCCAAGAACACCCCAGATCCGGGAAAACCGTTAGCGAGGACACTGGATGTGATGCTGCTGGTGAAAATTGTTGGGGCAGGCGAGTTTTTCGTAGTATCGCTTGCAACAGACATAGACATGACTCACGAATAAGTAGAACAAGCTCGAAACGAGAAACTCAACTTCTTCACATTTCTTGGCAACACGTGATTATTTCACTTTTTTCCTTGCATTTACACAAATACAGATCTACATAGAACGACCTACCCTTCGCTGACAGTTCATAGATGACTTAAATCTTGTCAGGTCCAGTCTACATTGACAACGGTGATGTACAGTTTTTAGGATCAACAAAAAAAGTCTAGTCCGGCCTACTTCGTCAACGATAATGTCACATCATATGGGGTGGGATGTATGTGCGATAACAGCGTGGATCGGTTGATTCAGAGTACTATGTATGCAACGTGTGGTCTATGGAAAACAAAAATTTGATGCAGTGATGGCGTTGAATTATTCTCGGATCAGGGCTATTGGAACGAAACACGGGGCAGAGTGGGTTTGGTGTATTTAGACAAATTCCGAGGGTAGTTTATCTGTTCACAATCAGTCACTTGTGGACGAATAATTAAACGACACAACATTACCTTCTATTTCCAGACAGTCTCCAGCTGGGGTATCCAGCGGTTCTACATGCCTGTCACGTCCGAGAATCACTCTTAAGATGCCATCGGACATGCCGCAAATGATTTGACCGGTCTATTAAGAAGGGTTATTAATAATTGGTGATACAGCAAATTGACGCTCTCACATTTTGTGGCCCAACTCGAAGGGAACCTGCGTAAGTTCGACGGAGGTCAGGCAACCCCCCTGCATCGTGCTTGTCCGCAAAGAGGTGTAGAGTTCCGGCTTCATAATAAAATTTCACGTCGGTTCGTGAGAGCCCAGACAGCTCAACGTCCAAGATGATGTTATTTATTGCAAAATGTCGACGCAGTCTAGTCCATCGTTAGCAAGTACTATTGGCGAACGAATATAACCTTACCTGGGTATCTCTGACGGATATGTACTAGAAGATTGGGACAGGGCTGTAGCACTGCCGTTGGATGACGAGGGGACTTCTCGCAAGCATGCGCTGATGTCTTTGTCTGCTGGCGACACACATGAACCAACCGTAGATCCTATCTTTTGGACGGTTTGATCCTTGAGCTGGCCGATTTCAGTCACGGAGTGGCTATCGGAACTCAGTTCACCAGTTTGAATTGATCCAGGTCCAGGCGATGATATATTCTCAGCATTTCCCGTCACCGCAATGTCACCTTTAGCGTTTTCGGCCGTCTTTGCATCGCCATCGTCAGAGTCTAATTGATCCTCTTCCATCGCCGCAATGTCAGTTTTAGTGTTTTCGGACGTCTTTGCATCGTCATCGTCAGAGTCCAATTGATCCTCTTCTGAAGAGGAACTGGTGTCCGTGTCCTGGTACATAGCTCTGGCCCATTTACTTTCAGGTCGTGTGTGGTTACTGAAGTATGTGCTAATCATCTAGGATACACTCGAACATGTTCCTTTATAATTTCGTTCAATTGGCTTACCCGTTTATGTTCCGAAGTAACACTGCTGAATCGTTCTTCCCAATCTCTATACAATGCTTGTCTCCATGCTGCACGTTCTGGTGAATTCGGCGATGTTACTGCGTAAGAGTCGATGTAGTTCTCAAGATAACTGTATTGCTCGTCCCTGGCCTGGCGTACCATCGGGTAGAATGTGTGTATGAGTAGTCAATGTAGATTAAGTGTTGATCTCGGGGCCGGTGACTCTGCCAATAATGACATTGTCACATGATCGTTTCATCAGGGGCAGTAAAGTTCGTCAACGTCTCGGAGCCTTGTATTCTATTCTTGATCGTGAGCCAAAAGAAAGTTGCAACATGTTCGACCGACCTAGAACGTTGACAAGGGTAAACATTTAGTTGGGAAGAAAGGACTATCATCTGCAATCATCTCCGATGCAATCAAGTGTTGGTGTGGTACTGCAACGTTGTGTCTACATTGTCTAGGTCGATATACCGACCTAGACGATGTATATATGACTGACGGTTTCCACAAATACTTTACCGTTAAATTCCAGCCCTAGAGCCCAAACCTCGAGGCGTAGAATTGATTCTCGGCTGTCGCCTTGCAGGTGAAGCACTCTCTCTTTTACTACCGAAGCGGCGTGAAAAAGGAGCCAAATCCGAGGGATCCGTTGTCCCACTTCTCGCATGCGAACTGGGCCGACCGTCAAGAAACTTGTGTCAATGAATGGGGAGATACGGTCAAGAAAACTATCCCATTGACTTCGTTCATCAAGAACCTCGTTGATCAGCTCGATCAGAAGCGATGGGACAAAATCAACGCAGAAGCCTTGCCAAAAGGACCTCCCGAATCTCCATCTCCACCCTTGAGTTGCGATTACGAAGAAAATCCCCAGCTCATAGATGACAGTGATGATTCTCAAGACGACAGCGATATCGAGGAGGATGGCGATTCCTGAGGCGATTATGTTCCTCGTATCACTGGTGACGACAACATTGTCGACTATTGCCCAGATAAGACCCAGTGCGCGCAAGACTACGCCCAAGACATGGGAGCGGTCGTCTGCTTTCCTCCTTTCTCTTTCTTTTCGAGACTCACTGTTTGTTACCTTTGTGGTGTCCTCGCCTCGCCTCTTTTTTCATTCGTTTCCGTTTGCCAAGCCTCGTCTGGCATGGTTTTGCCTCGACTCCCAGTTCGCAGCCGCGATCGTTCAAAATCGTGCCATCGCGCCAGCGACTTGCCTCAGGCTGGCCGTGCCTATGGGACTGCCCACCATCTGCAGTTGCCGAGTTGGTTTGTACTTTGTTTTTTCTCTTCGCTCGTCCTGCTGTGCGTGTGCCCATGTCCACGGGTTTGAAACACCAAGGTCTCACTGTTCGTTTTCGCTCTTGTTTGCTCTACGAACACATTTGCGTCAGAGTTATCATAGGATACACTGAGCACTCATATTGAATCTATCTTTGGGTATGTCTACGCCTCAGTGGTCACCATGTCTTAGGTTTGATACTTAGCACGTTCCGCAATAAAGAACGCTTGTGCTCCTTACTTTGTCGTAAACCAGGTTCCCTCTTTCTTCGCAAAACTGCCACAATGTAGAGGACTTGTATAGGGAGACATCCCCACGCAAGTGCTGCTGCGACGGACATGGGACACTGATCACATACCAGTATGTGTTGCAAACACAGAACTCGTTCGGTTTAGAGGGCTGGGCTATGTTAAAAGTGAGGTGGCTGAGGAGAACAACCCATCAGCTCATGCGTCCCTTATGAACTTACTACATTTCAAAATAACTAACGATCCAACAGACTAGTAGAGTAATATGGCTGGCTGTGAGCACGAACAAATGAGTATGGACCCCTCTGCTAGCCGTCGGGATCACCACTGCATTAGCTGTGTTAAGCAGCTCAATGCTATACAGCTTTGGTATTATGGACTGCAATACAAACATACAATGTACTAATACTGCGACCCGAACCCGCTATTCTCGTATGCTCCCTGATTTCGTCAGTGGTGGTTGGGAAGAAGTTGCCGAGTTCGAAATATCAATATTTAGGTTAGAATTTTTGGCATTTGCCTTACTGTGATAATCTTCGAGGTGTTCTAATCTAAACCGAATCTAATCGCACTCACAAGATGTGCCCCGCATCGTGATGATTGACTCAAACATGAAAACCACTCAACGAATGGGCCAGCAACTTCCTTATAAGTTCTGTCGCTGCTTCTGCCATTTGCCGGCAATGTCGTCCACAATGATCATTGATCCGGTCACTGGGCCTCTGAGGTGATTTTCGAGTGATAGCTGATATTCCGCTTTGGGAAAGTCGGTGAGACAGATCTTCCACTTTGGGAAAATCAGGATATCTAAAGAGACTCGGGATCTACTTTATCCCGGTTCGTAGCAAACGACACGCCAAAGCCAAATGAGAATGTCAACTTCGTCGTAGAAGAAGGTAAACGCGTCCATCACTCCAGATTCGCCGAAAAGCTGTAGCTAGTATATACTATTCCGAACGAGTTAGCAGGGCGTGCATTCACCCTGTAACGACCATCCGTGTGAATGTCGAGTCGGACAGCGGTAACCTGTATGCCTGGCTGAGGCTCCTGTGACCCTAGGAACGGGGGTCGCCTGTCACCCGGGCTACGGGGAGTGTTGACCCGCTCGGGGGGCGGGCAAGGCCGTGTACGCGTGATAGTCAGGAAGAGTAGTAGTTGTGTATTTTTGGACTCCGCTACCATACTAAGTATACGGGCGTGATAGCTACTTCTAAATAGGGTAAGTGTGTCCTCGTCACAGTGCCCCCCAGTCGCTATCACGATTGTACGCATAGGCTATATTGTAAGAGGAAATCTAAGCAGTGGGTGGATAGCGGGAGACTACGGGAATAGATGAGAGAGAAAGAAAAAGAGAAGAAGAGAAAGAAAGAGGAGAGAGAAAAAAAAGATTTCTTCTTTCGAGAAGAATTGCTGGTTAACGGTGATGGTACCGTCGTCGATTATGCGAGTAACGGCTTTCAGAGCCTTTCTGGCGCGATTGTTCGTCGGGTTCTTGACGAAGGGGAGCATCTGAGGCGATCCTTTCGAATAGTGATTTGTGCTTCCGAGTCGAGATGGAAGTGGTTGTTACTTGAATTGCTCGTGTAGAGCGAGAAGCGACAAATTGTCGCGGTGGTGAATTGATACGAGTCTTCTTGCGTGAACAAAACGCGCTAGGTGAAGGCGGCGAACGTTGGCTCGTGCCGGTATGGTCTGGGGTAATTAATTTATTTTGGTGAGTCGGCGGATCCTCCTCTATATATGCTGCGTGCTGTGCCTGAGGTGTAATCTTCCGCGGGGATTCAGGATGTCTACGGAATCGCGCGTCGAGATCTATGGGGAGGTTCCAGTACCCCGTGGGCGACGAGGGTCGTTCTTCCGGGTCGCGGACTTCTTCCTGCGCCAGGAGATATGTAGATTCGGCTACTAATGGGCCGTCACAACCGTCCGATCCGGAGATACTAGCGCGCGACAAGTAGCCTCTCACTCGCAGCGCTTGATCTCTGTCACCAAACCGTACCCAGTATATATCTTGACGCCCTTTCCAGGTTCGCAGCATTTGCGGGACGGCAAAGGGAATCTTCTTTGATGTTTCCTGGAACAGCTCCAGGAGCTCTTTGGGAGTCGTTATGCCGTGTGGCAAGCCGTCAATCCTCCAGAACTCCAAAATCTCTTTAGCGTATGCGGCGTAAAGCTCCTTCGCCCTGCTTGAAGCTGCTGGAACGCTCGGGGCGTGCGCTCTAGCGATGAAGCTTGCTTGCGATGTCGACGCTCCCTGGGTCGCGCGTACCGCCGCTTCCCGCTCGCGAGAGACGGTCGCCACCATAGCCTGAGGAGTGGCGACTCGACTTGCTTCCGGTTCTGACTCATATCCGGGCAGTGGGGAGGTTGGCTCGCGTCTCTTGCTTTTCCCTTTCGGATCGTCCGTCAAAGGGGTACTTGCTGCGCCAGACGCTTCTATCATCCCGGCCGGTTTCAGCTTAACGCGCGGAGCTTTTGCTACGGGTAGGCTCGCGGTTCGTGGTGCGTCTGCCTCTAGCCCGTCCATGTCGTGCCATAACTTCACGGGCGTCCGCGGGCGGGAAGCCATTTCAGCTAGCTTCCTTGCTTCTGGTAGCGAACGATCGTCGCGCAGTGAGGGCGATCGGTACCCCTGTCGATTAGATAGTGAGAGAGATCCCGACGCGGGAAGCGTGTGCAGCAGCTTCTTTACGCGCCCTACAGATTCTCCCTCTTCTAACGTTAGAGCACGCAGCTTCGACCGTTTCACCGCAAACCGCCATGGACCATCTTTGTCCGATATGAGCGCATAATTCTGCATGACGGCGTCAGGGTAGTACGTATGAGTGCGGTGGTGAAACATCGCTTCCTGTATGGTATACTCGTGTAGGAAAAAGCAGGCGACTCCCGATCGTGTCATGTAGAGCAGGGCTTCGTCGGACATCCATAGACCCATGTACTGCTCGTTCCCCTCCACAGCGAAGACGTGCGCGAAATCTGCTGGATCCCGAGGGGTTAAATTCTTAAGCTGTACGTAGTTAATCCATGCTTCCCGCAATTTGATGCCTCTTTGCATTTCAGTGATCATGTCCAGCGCTTCTTCGAACGAGGTTATGTCCCGAAGCGCTTCGATATGCATATTGCTAGGGTAAAGGGGGCGATTCTGCCACAGGAGCCGGTCTCGTTCCGAATATGACTCCCGTAGGCTGTCTCCCAGGAACTTCACGTCTTGGAGAAGCGACGTGTTACGCTTCTTCAACCGCTTCACATACGACTCAGTGACGTGTCCTTCCCCCGTTTCCGATCCCGCGCGAGAGCTCCAAGCTTCGGAGTCGTCAAAGAGCGACACAAACTCGGGGAAGAGGCTAGGTGGATTCAAGTGACTGTGCCGTCGTATGAATGGAAGGTAGGGCCGGCGTGGCTGATAATGTTGGGGGTGGTAGGTTGGATCCAAGGGCCCTAAATGCCCATCGTAGCGTCTCTTCCCTTTAGCTAGGTCCTCCAAGTCTACGCCGGGGGATTTGATGCCGGGGTAGAACGGCAACCTCCTCGAGTTGGGGGACCAGATTTCGAAACGCCTTCCGGCGATCGTAACATCCCTAGCCACCTTAGGGTAGTCTCCGGGAATAACGAGCTTGGAGAGAAAGGGAATGGGCCCCGGGTCATCTGAGTACCCCGCATCCGGCATCAGCCTTGGTGAAAGGAAGCGGCGAGAGTCTATGTTCATGCTAGAATACGGTACTGATGACAGATGCGATCACGATAAATGTAGATGAGGTGTCATCACGTGTCTTGTTTAGCGCGCCCCTTAGGGGCTTCTATGCCGCGCAGGTACTCCCTCCTGAGCTCTGGCGCGTTCCGGAGCTCGTGCTCAGATAACCATGAATCCTCCGTAGCGTCGAGGCCTTTCCATCTCACTAAGTAAAGACGTTTCCGTCCTGACTTCCGCGAGGAGACCTTGTGGCCGAGAATAGCTTCAACCTCCCATTCCTCAGTTGCTGGCAGTAAGTCTCGAGTAGAGGGCAGTTGATTGCGTTCGCCGAATCGCAGCCTTAGCTGTAATACTAGACCCTAATAAACTGGTTAGATCCAGGTGCTCCTAAGACACAAACTGTGGCTATAACCACAGGTCTCAGCTATGAGATCACATGATGTCCAGTAGATATTGATTTATTATATTGTGCCTGCGTCGGGATTGAATATTGCGTCGGAATTGAATATTGGCTTGTTATGGCATTCCCATGATATGATTAGATCTAATCAGAACATGTCGGTTATTTCCGTTGCTGGATTTGATGCGCTTTCTTTCCCCTTCTGTTTGTTTGCTTTCCGGATCTGGATCTGATGGGCGCCCCCTCCTTTTTGCTTCCCCCGGAAATTTGACGGGCGCTTTCCCCTTCGGTATGTTTTCCTTTCGTTTCATCC